AATGACCATAGAAGGCAGAGTTTATTTTGACATAAGGTTCTAGAGAGTTAGAGTTCGTAATATTAGGTCAGCAGCAGTATACAGGCATTGGTGGCTGGAGCGGCAAGCTGAAAGCTCACATTTTGAACCACAAGCACAAAACAAAGGCAGAAAACTGGAAGCGGCACGTCTTTTAAACTTAAAGTCTACTGGATGGTGGTGGTGCACACCTTTAATCCCAGCACTTGGGAGGCAGAGGCAAGTGGATCTCTGTGAATTTGAGGCCAGCCTGGTCTACAAAGCAAGTTGCAGAACAGCCAGGGCCACAAAAGAGAAACTCTGTCTTGAAGCTACCAACAACAAAACAACAACAAAAATTTGAAGCCCACCTCCAATGACATACTTCCTCCAAAAAGGCCACACATTCTAAAACCTCCCCAAATGCCATCAGTTGGGGACCAAGTACCCCAGACATGGAGGACATTCTCATTCAAACCACTGCTTAGAACCAGATTTTGATTTCCAGCACCTATATGTTAGCTCAAAACCAACTGTAACTCTAGTCTTGAGAGGTTCTGTATTGCCTTCTGACCTTCACAGGCACCAGGAACACATGTAGTATACATACATATATACAGGCAAAACAATCATACACATAAAATAAAAAATCTGAAAAAAAAATTTCAAGAAAGGGGAAGTGTCAGGCATCTTCTCTTTTACAGGATGGTCCTAGCCCTGTGAACCTGGCAGGCCTGGACCTCTGGGACTCAGTTTCTTTTTGTTTCTGCATCCTTATCAATCATTCTGGGCTCTTTTGCCTCCATTCCTGCTCCCTCTAGTTTTGTGCCCTCGGCAAGGACCATTGTCCTAGCTCACAGCCTGGCAGCATCCCAAGCCCCAGTGCTATATGCATTGGTCTGCTGTGCTATAGTTCCTTGAAGCTGGACTAGGGTTTCTTTATTGAGGTGAGTACATGAGGTTTACAGGGATCCAGTAACTACCAATGCTATGAGCAGCAAGCCTCATTCCACCAGCAGGCCATCTGAATAGAGCTTTGAGTTCACCATAGAACCTATAAGAGAACTCAGAATTCCTTCACATGCCATCATGGTTGTGGCCTGTGGTCTTTTCCCTGGCCCTGGTCTTGTCTCATCTGACATATATGAACTGTGGCTAGTCCACACTAGTACTTAGTACAATCCAGGCAGCACAGTGCCAGCCCTTCACAGGATTCTCTTGATTACCTGCTGTCAGCTTCATTTCTGCAGATCACACAGTTTAGTGCAGAGCTATGTGGTCATAAGAACCCACACAATGCTTGAGTTCCCAAGTGTGGATCAATGTATCCCAGAAAGATACAGGAAAAGAACAGCATTGGAAGCCAGTGCTCAAACCTTACCAGTAATTGATTGCAGGAGGTCAGAAGTTGGTCAAGGATCAAGAACTGAATAGAGCAGAAGGACGTGTATCTGTATCACCTGCTTCATCTTCAGGTGCCAGCGCACCAGCCAGCTCACTCCTATCTTGACTCAATGACTGATGACCCAGGGGTCCATATACTGGGTTTGGACTCGAGATACTGCATTGCTCCAAAGTATTAAAACATTCTGTGTGGTGAAAGCCAAGCTGTGCATTATGCGGAAGACAAAAATGGCTTCGTTGATTGAAATTGTAATTCCTGAGTATATTTATGTAGTCCAATTTTTGAACAGCATCAGTATGAATAACCCTTGGAAACACTTTCCTGTGACTGGCATTATATAATTAGGCTTATTTTAAAGCTAAGCATCAAAGCAGGCTACACTTGGGTTGGAGAGGTGGCTCAGAGCACTTGCTGCTCCTCCAGAGGACCTGGGTCTGATTCTCAGCACCTACATGGCAGCTCACAGCTGTCTGTAACTCCAGGTCCAGGGAATCTGATGCCCTTACAAAGACACACATGCAGACAAAACACCAGGGCACATAAAATTAATAAACAAAACAAAACACTACTCAACCCACTGTCCCAGAACCTCCTGACATGTTGGACCTGGTTTTAATTTATGGGCAGCATGTATTCCTGGGTTGGTGTGATACTGGATCTACATCCCAGCACCTGTCTTGATATCAAAGTATTAGAAAAATCCTTTGAGGAACTGCTATCTGGTGCCCTGTTAAAGCCTACCCTGCCATTCTTGGAGCAGCAATGGCTGTCAGAGAGAATGAAGCAGTAAAGGAAAGATAGTGAAATAGTCATAGCCTGGAAAAGCCAGTTTACCATCTTGGCACTCATAAATATAGAAAAAAAATTAAAAATGAAGGAAATAAATTTCTCCAGGGTAGCCAGGCCCGCATAGACAGACTGTGTATCAAAATGAATAAATATATAAATCAAGAAGAAGGAAAGGTTGAGAAAGGTATTCCCTATTGCCGATGAAGCTTCTAAGGTACCAGCTGCCCTACACTGTAGCCCTGGGAGTTTTTCAGACCAGTGGGCAGTAGGTTTTTCCCTAAAGGCAGCTACAAAGCTGCAGTGCCCATTGTGTTAGAATGTCTCTGACTCTTCTGTACAAAGGAGGAGGTTGGCAGCACTGTGTGCTGCAGGTATAAGGTGCCGTTGGTGTGAGAGTCATAATTCCCAGTTCCTGAAAATCCAGCAGTTGCCTGGGAGTTGAGATTTTCCCAGTGCATAGTGTGCTCAAAGGAGATGACTGGCCTCTCGTGTCCCACACACCCTTCAGCTTTGTTTAGTTGTGTGAGTTTTTTTCGTCTTTGTGTTGTTGGGGCTTGAACTCTTTATCCATATACATACGAGGGATGCATTCTGCCAACATGCCAATGTATGGCCTTTATAATCATGGCCTCTAGTTACTCCAAGTTGGAGAGTATACTGAAACATTGTGCTTTAAAACATTTCTATTACACTTATCTATTTATATAGTGTGTGTACTGTGACATGGCACATCCATGGAGGTCAGAGGACTTGCATAAGTTGGTTCTCTCCTTCATCGCTTGGGTCCTGGGAACTGAATCAGGCCATCAGGCTTGATTCAGACTTAATCCTTACCTGTTAAGCCACTGCCCTGCCCTGGCATCAGGGACCTGGAGAAGAGTATTGGGTACTGAGGCTGGCAGTAGTAAGGCAGTGAGATTTATACTTTGGTTTGAAAAATATTTCATGGGCAGTGGGCTAGCTGTGAGAACTTGGCCTGGCTCCAAATGCTTTTTTATTCAGACAGCTAAATGATATTCATCTACTTTGCCCATTTTCCTGTCCAGCTCTGAGTCACTTCCCTTTGTCCAAATGGGTTTTTCCTTTTTCCTTTCTCATACACTCTGATACTCTTTGGTCTGGGAACATTGCGTACAGATTGATTCTCTGGGCAGGGCAGGTACTTGTCCTACAGTCTGTTGCTTAGAGAAGGAGGGTGGTCTAGAATGGTGTCACTGAATGAAGTGAGTCTGTGCAGGATGTTGCTTCCTGCTGGCTTCTAGCTGGAATGGCAAGAGTGACACAATGGTCATCAAGATGATGGCACATCTTGTAATGGGTTCCTGATCTGTCTCCATTTCTCTTGCAGCTGGCATGTGCTAGGGCTGAGTGCTCTGCTGTGCTGTGCCACAGCATCCACACTGGGGTCCTAATGTAGTGTCTTTCTCTGCTCTTGAGCTCAGCTTCACTGTAGTGGGTGGGGAGCAGCTGTCAGTGGTACTAGAGCAAATTGTATATCCATGTGCCAAGAAAGCTGTTCACACAAATGGGAAGAGGTTTGGTCTATATGCTAGTCAGTTCAGACAGCACTAACAAAAGACTCTTGAATACTGGAAATGTCCATTCGTCACCATCTAGAGTAGTGGCCCCACACATGTGTCTGTTCAATACCTAGACCAGAGTTAGTCTATTTTAATACATTTAAACAAATACTACAGTTAGTGACTCCAGCATGGAGCATCACAAGTATAGGAACTTCCCAGTGCAGCCTCACAAAGCAGGTTGCCATTGCTGAGTTTTTTTGTTTGTTTTTTGTTTTTTGTTTTTCTCCTCTAGACCTTTTGTCTATAAAACTTTTGGGTTGTCCCTCAACATCTCAAAGGACTGGCATTCTAGAAGGCTTTGGCTTTGCTGACCAGAAGAATGTACCTGCAGGGAGTGTAAAGCCTAGCGAGTATGTCACCATCCATCATTAGGGTTCAGAGTGTGCAGAAAGTTCTGCAGGATGTAGAGGTGGCTTCCTGGAATCCTGGAAGCTCAACCAACATAGCAGTTCTCAGCTGTGGGTTATGTGACTCTCATGCCTGTGGAAAAGACTTCCTGGAAGAAACGCCTGAGTCCCTGGATGGGATCAGTCAGCAGCACTGTCATCTTGGGGAGGATGTGTGCCCAGCTTGTGAGCACATGTTTGGGCTTGCCTAGAAACAGTGCTTATAGTTTAACGGTGTCATTTCATTTCTGAAGAGAAAGGTTTGGAACAGGAAGTAGAGTGAAGCTTCAGAGCTTCACGGTAACAGCAAGTCTCCTTTAGCATGGTTAGTCCCCAACCTTGTATAATGTCACACTGTCTGGGAACCACTGTGATTCCTCCCAGACCTTGTCATTCAGAGCTTCCATTTTTGCCTTAGTTATAAAGCTGAGCAGTAGTGTACAGGTCTGAGGAAAGACCTTCAAAAGGATGTGCCAGGCTCCTTCTCATGCAAACCATTCACCACGGGAGATATAATGATCATGAGTTTCCCAGGATTTAGACTCCATTTTTTACTGTCTGGAAGGATAGTACAAGGGCTCACAAATGTGCTGTCCCTCCCATTCAAGATCCCTACATTCCCTTTCTTGGGATTTGGTTGGTATCTGAGAATCTATTGGTCTTCCAAGATGCCAGTACCAGCTGAGGCTGGTACAGGTGCTATTCAGATCTTGGTTCTGGCAGCCTTGTATGGAATAGCTACTTGTCATATGCCCAACAATTATTTGTATTTTGAAGTTCCAGCAATCATTTGTATTTTGAAGTCTTACTGCTTTCTTATAATTTTGTTTGTTTTTACAGTGAGTGTTGAAAAAATAGACCTGAAGGGATTATCACACACGAAAAATGACAGAAGTGTTGAGTGCTCTTTTGAGGTAAGATGCTGTTTTTTCCCTTACCTTGGAGGTATTAAGGGATACATTTGTCACAAGTAGCCACTTTATGTACAGGAATAAAAGCTGTGCTTCTTGCAGAGCAATGGTAATGAGTAGAAAAACAAAGAAGGGGGAAAGAAAGAGGGAGAAAGGAAGAAAGAGAGAAAGAGAAAAAAATAATCAGGCAAAAGATTTGGACAGAGTACCAAGAAAGAGGCATGGCTGGTAGTGATCATGTGTGGAAATGTGTACCAGCAGCCTCATAGCTAGGACACAGTGTTAAAGCACCATGGAAGAACTCTTATGGGAAAAGCTGACATGAGGAAGGCTGGCCACACTTGATTAGTTAAGACTGGAGTTCTGTGTGCTTCTGCTGCTGGGAGTAGGGAATGGCTTATGCACACTGGGCAAGTGACAACTTTCAAAAAGCAAAGGGACTCCTCAGTGCAGCCTTTGAATCTACATCTGCTATATAGACCCTCGTTTACCTCTGTGCACAGTTTGATTTGTAAGACTGAACAACTTTATTAAATAGATACCTTAGGATGCAAGGTGAACGGTGTGAATGTCTGCCCTAGGAACCTGGATCCCCAGGGCTGTACTGTCCACAGGTGGGGCACTGCTCAAAAGAGGGACACAGAAGAGGCACAGTGACTAAGACTCTCCTCCAGTCACGTGTATACTGTGCAAGCCAGCTACATACAACTCTATAAAATACAAACTACTCCATGGTGAGGGAGCATACCAGAACGCTTCTATGGACAGGATGAAAGTCAGCTGAGGACCTAGGTAGGGGTGATGTGATCAGTTGTCCTGAGTGGGAGGTGGTTTCACAGGTGCCACAATATCTGATCACACACTTGTGTGTGGCTCCCCATCAGGTACAATCAAAAGTGGACATTTTTTTTTTTTTTTTTAACTTCTTCTTGATAGGGCCTAAGGTTTTTCTGTGAACCCCAAGCTGGCTTTGGATGTGCCGTTCTCTTACTTTAGCCACCCAAGTATGGCAAGCCATACTTGGTATCAAAACCTTAAAATTTCATTTGAGAAACAGTACACCACACAACTCATGAAGTAGAATGGAAAATAGTGAGGATAGTAAGTAAAAGCAATAATTGGATGCTTAGAGAGAAGCCCAGAGCTTCCTGCCCATAGTCACCTTTTGGTTCTCCAGAGCTCTGTTTGATGGTTACCTGTGTATCGTAATTAGGATTTCTATTGCTGTGATAAACACCATAACCAAAGCAACTTTAGGAGGGAAGGGTTCATTTCAGGTCACACTCTGAGGGAAATCAGGACAGGAACTCAAGACAGGTACCTAAAGGCAGGAACTGAAACAGAGGCCTTGGAAGTATGTTGCTTACTGGCTGCTCAACCTGCTTTCTTATACAACCCAGGACCATCTACCCATGGGTGATAACCACCCATAGTGGGCTGAGCCCTCCCACATAAATCAACCAAGAAAATATACTACAGACTTGCCTACAGGCCAGTCTGCTGGAGTCATTTTCTCAGTTGAGGTTTGTTCTTCCCAAAATTACTCTAGCTTATGTCAAGTTGACAGATATCTAACAAGAACAGTGTTTCCCAGTACTAAGTTACTGGATGGAGGGTGCTCAGGAAGCACCTGCTACAGATAGATGTGAAACTTGCTACTCTTTGCCATAGAGGTAGTTTTATTTTTTCTGCTAATCCAGAGAAGGCCCAGCCAGAGTCTCAGGAAGCAGATAAGTGAGTGTATCTGAAGAAAGTAAAATAACTGAGGCTCTTCAGAACTGTGGATTGCTCCCTATACCTAATGGTGTGCAGGGGACACAGTAGGGTGTGCCATTTCTGAAGCACAGTGGCTGAGGGTTTGACTTAAGTTACAAGACACTACTAGTACAATATACCTCTTAAAAGCCATTGCATTTATTGGTCAGTTGTATCTTGTCTTTAAAAGTTTGCTTTCATTTGAGGGTATCCTTTATTAGCCAGTCAAGGTGGTGCTGTCTGCATATGACTATAGGGTAACTGGACAACACAGGCTAGCCAATACTGAGGCTGATGCTTTTCTGTCTCACTCAGATCTTTTCTCTCAGAGTTGTGGTTTTTGTTTTGTTTTGCTTTATTTGTTTTAAGACAAGGTCTCATTATGTAGCCTAGGCTGGCTTGGAATTCTGCATACTATCAAGAGTTTTGGAGTTAAAATATGAACCTCTGTCTTCACTGAGTCATCTATTTTTAAGAGTGTGGCAGGGTCTTAAGGACTAGCTGGGCAATACTGTATTGATGCTTGCTATTGGAGATGTCTTATTTATTGTCCCATATCCTGCCCACTTCCACTCCCTGTGGTTGATAATGGGCTGGCCATGATTTCTTGTTGTTTCATCTTGTTTTTCTGAGACAGGGTCTCTTTATGTAGTCTTGACTATCCTAGAACTCTCTGTATATACCAGGCTAGCCTTGAATGGAGATCCTCCTGCCTCTACCTCCTGAGTGCTGGGATTTAAGGAGTATACCATCATGCCTGGCCTAGCCATGGCTTTCCTGAGGAATGTGGGAACATGCTTACCTGGTTTCACTCTGACTGGTACTCTGGTAGCCTCAGTGCCTCCAGCCAAGAGTCTTGGTGTCACCTGCCTCATCCATCTTATGGGATGGATGTCTCTACTTGGCTTTTCTGTTTTCTAGTTTGGATGTTTGGAGGTTTATTGGCTTTGGGCTTTCTTCCAGATCCTTCCCTGGGGCCTGTGCTGCCAGCTGTGCTAGGCCATTGCTTGCCATCATTGCCTCAGTCAAGCTCTTCTTTCTGCTGGCATCAAGTCCCCTGAGAATGTGGATTGCAGGCCTTCATCCTCCATGCTGTTTTTTTCCTTAAGATGACTGGGAGCTTGTTAAGAGTTTGGGGATCTTACAAGGTACCTTGTAGACTCGGTGGGACCATCTGCCCAGCACCTGGTTGGTAAAGAATAAAGCACATGCCATTTTGGTGGCTCTAGGCAGAGGTCCTAGGCATGTGACTAAGAAATGAGGGTGCATGTGGAGCTGACTTGAGCCTGTTATGTTGTTTATTTCTTGTGTGATGAAAGATTCATGTCAGCCCCTGTATGGCTCTCCAGCTCTTGGAGAAAGTAATTGGTGGTGTGTGCCTCAACTTTCCTGCAATGCCTGCTGATGATGTGGGAAGGAATGGGCTCCTGGAGGTGGATGGCAGATGCCAGTTCTGATTGGGTGCTTTATATCTCCATGCTTTTGTGGTGGCCTGTCTTCCTCCAGTGCCTTGTGTTGAGTGGATGGAGACTGAGTATGAGGCCAGTGTAGCCTTGGACCCTGGCCAAAGCTAGGCAACTTGGAAGTGAACCAGATCCATGGGACCAGGCTGTGAATCTCCCACTCTGTGTTCTTGGCTGTGATGACGACCCCAGGAAAACATACATACATACATACATACATACACACACACACACACACACACACACACACACACACACACACGTGGGACTACAGCTTTCAGTAGTCCTACTGCCCTTGTTTGGCTGTGGGCTTTATGCTTTCCTTGGGTCAGTCATGGGAGAAAAGACTCCTGCTAGAAACAGATTGTCAGCTGTCTCTGTTCAAGGCTCTAGGTGACTCAAGTTTTCAACTCAGTCAGGGATGTTAGAGTTGATATGGCCCAAACTTAGAAACCCCAGTTTTGTGGGATTATTGGAAGCCAAGAAGCACTGAGGCATATTTCTACCAAGTGCACACAAGTTGAGATGGAAGCCACACTCCAAGCAGCAGGTAGCTCAGAGACTGTAGTTGCCTCACCTGAGATATCATGGGGCCCTTCTCTCCATTTGCTGTGGCTTTGTGAGAGCTGTCACACACAGTGCTGATGCTGAAACACACAGATCCATGTGGATCTCACAGATGAGAGGAACATGACTGAGCCCTCCCAGAGCAGGGTGTCTCAGCTATGCAGAAAAGGGATTAGAGGCTTGCCATCATGAGCTCTTGTCTCTACACCAGGGTAAATGTGATGCATCCCTTTTGGGTAATGGCATCTGGATTTTAGGCAGAATTTGTGTGTTTTATATCTCCTGTCATGCCTCTTGTCCTTGCCTTTCTAAGACCCCCCCCCAAAATCCACACATATACATCTGTAGAAGTAGCTGCAATCAGGCTGCATATCACTGTTGTAAGTAATAGGCTTGTTGCAGTCAAGAAGGGATGACAAGAGCTCAGCCATTGCCAGGAGCTTTATGAAGTCAGATCATGCTGGCCCCAGTGCCATGGGCTAAAGCAAGTGCCAAGCCTACAGGCATGTGAAGCTTCTGCCACTAAACCCTGTTCACCCCTCAGACTCTTCTGACCTGATGCAGCACTCCTGTGGAGGACCTCTTCTGTTCCACATTTGTCATCTGCCTGAGGGCCCAAGCCAGGCCTGGGCTCAAGTTTTCACATAGCCACAGCACCTGTGTGGCACAGATACCTGCTTCCAGGTGAAGAGACTAATTTCTGGTGACTTGATGCTTTGTCCAGCATCGCATGTACCATAAGAGAAGAAAGCATGCCTGGTGTACATGGGTGCTTAGATGGCAGGTGAGATACCCTAGGAGTAGCCCCTATGCTCTAGTGACTTGGTAGTACATGAATGAACTTGGATTATGTGACTATTGTCTTCATAGCAAGTCAGGAGTATGAGTGTCTCATTCACTAGCTGTGGGCCCTGAACAGTTGGAATCTGAGTATGTGGTATCTGTTTTTAAGGCTTGTTTGTTTGTTTTTAAGGTCTTATGGTCTGATTCTTCAATAACATCAGTAACCAAGTCTTCTTCTGAAGTGACTGAATTTATTTCAAAGGTAAGGTGACCAAGGGCTCTTCAAGCAGTGAAAAGTACATGATGCAGTGATATCAGTGGCTTCTATCCTTTACCTAGTCATGATAGTCAGCAGAAAGGTTCTGGGATCACAAGCATGAACCACCACACACGATTTATCTCTTGACTACATTGACAGTAGTCTCCCTATCCCTATTTCTCACGTCTTTGAAATTTTCATTGAATGTTGGGCATTATGTTTGGAAGGCTGTAGAATCTGAGGAAACAGTAGTCATGCCTATAGTGGGTACTCATCTCCTCCCAGGCCAGTAGTGAGGTTCTTGGGTCAGTGTAAGCAGGAGTGGCTAGCTCTGAATATGTTCATAATATCTCAGATGGGTTGCTGCTTAACACTCAGCTTTCAGCTGTCCCAGTACACCAGAGGGATTCTTTCTTTTTGTGTCCTCTCTCGAGGATAGGCCAGTGCCCATTACCTGGAGCTAGACTTTTAGAAGAGTGAGGGGGGATTCTCCACTCTCCTGTCCTGGTCATGGTCTTAGACACAGGGCTGTTGTGCCTGGGTTTTGGAGGCTAGACTTTCTCAGAACCCCAGCCCCTTCCAAGTAGTAGAAGACTTCTACTTGTGTGTTGAGTAGGGTCCTGCACCCAAGGGGTCTCATGTCCTTGCTTCAGGGCTAGAAGATGTTTGCTTTTCTCTTTCACCCAAAGCACTACTTGCCTAAGAAATGGGTCTTTTTATATACTGGGCCAGGAATATGCCATGCTCCTATTTCTCCCCTAAAGGCTAAGGACCTTTGCCTTAGACACAAGGCCCTGGGAGTTTAGATCTGTTCCCAAGGGCCTTGTGATACTCTTGGCTCTCTGTATAGTGACCATGTGTGTCCCAGGAGAATATATCCATCTTATCCTATCTGTGCTGACCACAGTGTGCCATTGAAGAATCTTTACTTTTTTTGTAGGCCTGGCCCATGTTTGGATTCTGGTTAGAAACTGGCCCTGTGGCTCAAACTATGTTAGACTCAGGGATAGTTAGGATGAATGGACTGTGGGACTTCATCTGCCTATGGTAGGGTGTCTGACATGTGTATAGAACCAAAGCAGCTGGAAAGGTCCAAACAGTCCTACCACAGATGTTCCAGAGGCCCCTTGCCAAGCCTCTTCTAGCAAGGCAGAGTGCTGGTGTGCTGTGGAGACAGACCTTCTGCCTTGTGTCTTCTTTCAGTTATCCCAGCTCTGCCCTGAAGAGAACTTGGACAAACTCATTCCTTGCTTGGCTGGCCCAGATTCCTTCTATGTGGAGCGCAACCATGTGGACTTAGAAGCAGGTTTAAGGTAAGTAATGACTAGGTGGCTGTGTTGCCTTTATCTTTCCTTTATCTCCAGGACTATCTGTTGTAAGGATTTGAAGGGTATGGACAAATTTAGGGTGAATTGAGGAAGGAATCAAAAGCTTGTGCTATATGGGGTTTTGTTGTCTTTGTGAGATGACATAAGCAGTCATCTGTGTTATAGGATTAAAAACTGAAACTGTGGCTGGGTGGTGGTGGTACACACCTTTAATCCAGAACTCAGGAGGCAGAGGCAGGTGGATTTCTGTGCGTTTGAGGCCAATCTGGTCTACAGAGTGTGTTATAGGACAGCCAGGACTATACAGAGAACCCTGTCTGAGGGAAAAGAAAAATCTGAATCTTGTCAGAATGAAAATAGGTTCTCTGTATCTTCAGCTATGTTCCACACACAGAACATGCTGTACTGAGGTTCACTAGTTCTGTTCAGCTGCTTTGAGATTGAGGATGACCTTAAATTTGTAATCCTCCTGCTTCCACCTCCCAAGGGCTGGGATCAAGGGTGTGCCTCACCACACAGTTGATGTGGTACTAGAGATGGAACCCTGGGCTTTGTGTATGTTGAATAAACACTCTACTACCTGTGCCACAGCTATGGCCTTTTGCTGGTTCTCTAGTACGTATGAGGCCATGGTCCCTTTTAGACTCTGGGACCAATGTCTTCACATTGTGACCTGGTTCCATCAGACTCAGGAGCACTAAGGTTCCAGTGCTCATGTCACAGACTCTTGTAGAGCTTGGTTCATTCACTGTAAGAGACAAGAGAAGGGACTTGAAGAGAATTATACAAATTGAATAAAAGCAAGAAGGGTATCAGGCTATGGGACTAATTTGTTTTTAGTTTTCAGGTTTTCCCACAGGTGGGTGTGTGTGTGTGGGTGTGTGTGTGGTTTTCCCACAGGTGTGTGTGTGTGTGTGTGTGTGTGTGTGTGTGTGTGTGTGAGGTTTTCCCACAGGGGTGTGTGTGTGTGTGTGTGTGTGTGTGTGTGTGTGTTTCAATACTGACAAGCTGCTGTGTTACTCCCCAGGTATTTGGCTTCCATACCTTCTCACACACTGAAACATGACCATGTTAGGAAGTTCTTCAGTACTTCATCTCCCATCCAACAGCTCCAAAGTCCAAGTAAGTTTGTGAAATGGTTAAAAGATAAAAACTAAGTTACATTGTTGTCCATAAGCTTATATAATACTTTTCTTCTGCTTTGTAGGTCCTGGCAACTCCTCCCTTCCTAAAGTAGGTACCATGATGGGAGTATCGGGAAGGTGAGTGGTCCTCTCTATTCAACAGGGTCAGCACTGCACTCATATGTATGCAAGCAGTGGCTGTCAGAGCAGTCTGTTCGATCTACGTCTTAGATAATGCCAGGAGAAGAATTGGGTAGAACAAATCTTAAGTTTTGGCTTCCTAGTTTTATGATTTTTCTCAACAGTGCTGAGTAGCTTGTTTTAACTCATGACTATTGAGTATCATCTCATTCCTTAGAAGTGCTAGACACCAGGTACCTCAGTGAATCTCTGATGCAGTGGACACACACAACATGTGGGCACAAGAGTACCCCCGTGGGCACTGCACTGTGAGGAGGGAAGTCATGATGGGGGTGGTAGTAGACTGGACACTGATTAGCCCCAAGTGTGCCATGAGCTGAACACCAGATGACATAGGAGTAGATACCAGCAAGGGATACCTCTAACTTCCTGGTGCCAGCTGGCAGTTTTATAGAACAGAACCCCACTGTCCCATGTCCTGCAGGCCTGTGTGTGGAGTGGCTGGCATCCCATCCTCGCAGAGCAGCACCCAGCACCATCTGCAGCACTCGGCCAGTGCATCTGCTTCCCTGCCCCACTGCTCCCACACAGGGGGTGCAGGCTCAACGCTGGCTTACAGGACCCAAGTGGACAACTCGCCTACCATCCTGATGCCCTCTAGTCTGCAGGCTCCTCAGCCCCAGGAGCAAAATGGGATTTTAGACTGGCTTAGGAAACTGCGTTTGCACAAATATTACCCCGTCTTTAAACAGCTCACCATGGAAAAGGTATGTTGACTACTTAAAGGGTCACACCATGTGCTTGCTATTCCTCTAGTATCCTGTGCCCTGTCCTCATTCCTAGAGGTGTCATGAACTTGGATGGTGACCTTATAGCTTGGTGTTAGAGGGGACTAGGATTTCACTCCCAGACTGCTTGAAGCAAAAACAAATCAAAACAGGATTTGTCATAAGCACATAGCTTTTCTAGATGTTTCAGTTCTTGACAAACCAGGAACTCTGTGACTTCTATTGGCTCCATCCCTCAAGCTGCTGTAGGCCAGTGCTCATTCAGATACCATTTGTTCCTCTTTAAAGTAGGCCCTGTGTAGCTTCTTTGTGGCCAGCTCACAGAGTCATTGCCTTGAACACAAGCAAGTATGGGTTCAGACAACCAAGGCTGCATTTAATGGTTGGACCTGGAGTTTGGAAGAGAGGTGGCCTGCTCAGAGAGCAATGTTTTAGTGGACAGTTTTGACTTGAGATGCCTGTTGATGTTTTCTAAGCCAATGAATGATACCTGCACAAGGTGTTTGAAATCTGAACTCCCTCTGCTGGACAAGATGGCTCTGTAACAGCTCCACACATATAAAACTCTACTGTTAAATGTAGAGATGGAGCTTTGGAGATGGGAAATACAGTGTTTGTGCTTATCATGCTGCTGCCTAGGGCCCCTGAATCTTAAGGACAAGAGATTTTGTAATATTGGTTATGAACAATTTGAGTTTTCTACTCACAATTATCATGAGATGACTGAATCCCACAGCTGACTGTGATGTGGTAAGCAGCTTGTGTTGCTGGTTAGCTACCTTTTCATTGGGATAGTGCCTTCTTTCTACATTACTTGGGTACCAAGCTACTGAAGGTGATTTGCCAAAAAGAACAGTCATAAGGCAACTGTGCTCTGCATCTGTGAGACCTTCCCCAGGGGACAAGGACAGCCTTCTATTGTAAATGAACCACTATTCATGGTTAAAACTGCCCCGGGTGTGCATCCCTGCCTAGTGACTGGGGTGCAGAGACCATAGGGCTGAAGGATGTCTATTAGGTGCACTTGTGGTGAGGTGTGGAGGAGAGAGGCTACAGCTCTTTAGAGCAATGGGAAGTGGTCTCTGTGTTTCCAGTCTTTTGTTTGCTAGCCCTTTTATCTGTTCCCTGCACTCAAATCCAAGTTTGTTGGTTCCTGAGTCCTTATGGTCATCTCATTAACTGTCTTTTGTTTCTCCTATCCAAGTTTCTGAGCCTTACTGAAGAAGATCTGAATAAATTTGAGTCCCTCACCATGGGAGCAAAGAAAAAGCTCAAGACTCAGTTGGAGCTGGAAAAGTAAGCATGAAATCATTTGTTGTATGCTGGGTGTTGGTGGTGCTGGTGGTGCATACCTTTCATCCCAGAACTTGGGAGGCAGAGGTAGGCAGATCTCTGTGAGTCTGTGGAGGGGGGAGGGAGGGAGAAAAGAAGGAAGGAAGGAAGGAAGGAAGGAAGGAAGGAAGGAAGGAAGGAAGGAATCACTTAATGTGTGTGCTTTTCTGGTGTGGCCACACTGCAGTTTTAGCACTGAGGCTGAGGCGGGATAGGGATTTGAGTTGAGGTAGTCTGAGCTACATAGTGAGACTGTGCCTCAAAATACCAAATAAACACAGAATAGCATGTGTTCATTTTAGTTTCTCATGTGCTGAGCAGTGTTAGAACCTGCAAGTTTTTAAATGTCAGGGTCCAGGTTATTTTATTTCTTACCCAGTTCTCAGGTGATACCCAGCATCATAGCTGTAGCTTCTGGGAGGTGCACTGGAAGCTAAAGTGTGGCGGAAGGGGAGCTTTTTGACCATGCTTGTCATTCATAGGGAGAAGTCAGAGAGACGGTGCCTCAATTCCTCAGCCCCATCCTTGGTAACCAGCAGTGGAGTGGCCCGAGTCACCCCCACCAGCCATGTGGGACCTGTGCAGCCTGGGCGTAGCAGCCATGCTGCAGGTGTGTGAGGGCCTGTGGTTCAGATCTGTGGCATGTATACAGGTGTGGTATGGTATTCTATTGGATCAGAATTAGACTTCAGATTACTGTTGTTTTCATTTACAGGTTTTAAATGTTTACACTTTTCTTTATCTTGACTCTGTAGTGTTTAGTACAGGAAAGTAATTGTATGGATGGCCTTAGGTACCCGACACTGGTGCCTAGTCTCAGATTATTTGGGCAGCAATGTTAGACCCTGAACTCTTATGCTCTGGGGGGGGGGGGGGAGCAAGATACAGTCCATAGAGGTGAAAGGCCCTTGCCACACAGGTGATAGTCATGAACTGTTGCCTGGTGCCCTTTCTCTGACCACTGTTGTCCTTCCTGTCTTCCCATTGGAAACTTGAGAGGCTTAAGGACTTGGGTTTTTTAGCCTCTATCCTCTTCTTCTCGTATTCCTTGTCCGTGGAAGAGGCTGGGGACATATGAGTTAGTGTCTGTGTTGTCCTGGCAGAAGTACTGAGCATTGCTTTATTCATCAAGATATGATGAATAGCAAGAGTCATGGCAGATTGGTAAGAAATGAATGTCCACCTTGGACTATTCAGTCTGCCACAGGGAGCCTTTATGGCAGATAATAAAAACAATTCTGTTCTGTACACTTCAGGATGGAACATGGCACCCCACAGTGACTGGGCATCAACCTTGCAGTATGCCATCCTGAGTCAGAAGTACCCCTTTGATCTGTCACCTAACAATATGACCTTGAGTGGTTGCTGCAGTTTCCAAGATTCTTGGAGCTTAATCTGACCATGATTGGGGATGTGTTTCCTAGTGTTCTTGGCAAGGTTCTCTTGCTAGTGTCACAGAGCTGCTGACCTCTACCTGCCTTCTCCACAGAGCTACGGGTGGAGGTGGAGCCACAGACTCACCAGCTGCCCCGAGAGGGCAGCTCCTCTGAGTATTCCAGTTCCTCCTCCAGCCCCATGGGTGTGCAGGTGCGAGAGGAGAGTTCAGACAGCGCTGAGGAGAGTGACAGACGTAAGATACCTGTGCTGTGGGCTGTTTGCTGCCCCACTATCTGAGCTTGTTGCTGGACACACGCTGTACTAACAGTCTTTTCTGTCCTCAGGTGTGGACATACATGTTGAGGGTACTGATAAGGAGAAGCCTGTGATGCTGCTGACTCACTTCCCATCCAGCTCTGCCAGACCCACGGCCCAGGTTCTGCCTGTGCAGAATGAAGCTGGCTCCAGCCCTGCAGGTCACCATCCCCTGCCCCCACAGCTGATGCCTGCAGCTTCTCACCTGGCACCTGTCCGCATGCTGAACTCGGTGCACAAGTCAGACAGAGGCAGCACAGACGTGAAGCTCCTCTCATCCTCTGTTCACTCCCTTCTGACCCTGGAAGAAAGGAACAAGGGGCCTGGCCCTAGAAGTGGCACAAAAGTGGACAAGAGCTTTGGTGGAGCTGTGCTGGACACACTGCCCTCAGCGGCACCCCATCCACAAGTGCAGGTCCTCTCTGGCCTTGTAGAGAACAACTCTGTGTCACCCACGGTCTCCTTTGGTCCCCGGGCCAAAGTCGTACATGCAGCCACATTGGACAGGGTGCTGAAGACAGCACAGCAGCCAGCCCTGACTGTAGAGACCAGCTCAGCCGCCACAGGGACACCAAGCACCGTCTTGCATGTGGCCCGGCCACCCATCAAGCTGCTGCTGTCCTCCTCCGTCCCTGCTGATGCTGCCATCTCTGGGCAGACTTCTTGCCCCAACAATGGGCAGATCAGCGTGCCTCCTGCAATAATCAACCCCCGGACTGCTCTGTATACAGCCAACACCAAAGTTGCCTTCTCTGCAGTGAGCAGTGTGCCTGTGGGCCCACTGCAGGGCAGCTTCTGCGCCAACAGCAACACTGCCTCCCCCAGCAGCCACCCCTCCACGTCTTTTGCGAGCATGGCCACTCTGCCCAGTTGTCCTGCCCCCAGCTCCAGCCCTGCCCTCTCCTCTGTCCCTGAAAGCAGCTTCTACAGTGGCGGTGCTGGCAGCAGCTCCCCAGGAAACATTCCCGCCTCAAGTCAGAATCACCACCACCACCATCACCATCAGCAGCCCCCCGCACCCCCACAGCCTGCCCCACCCCCACCTGGATGCATTGTGTGCACATCCTGTGGGTGCAGTGGCAGTTGTGGCTCCAGTGGCCTGACTGTCAGCTATGCCAACTATTTCCAGCACCCATTCTCTGGGCCATCCATGTTTACCTTCCCTTTCCTACCCTTCAGTCCCATGTGCAGCAATGGCTACGTCAGTACCCAGCAGTATGGTGGTGGCTCTGCCTTCCCTGTTGTACATGCGCCCTACAGCGGCAGTGTGACTCCGGACCCCGTCCTAGGTGGGCAGTCCACTTTTGCAGTACCACCCATGCAGAACTTCATGGCTGGGACAGCAGGGGTGTACCAAACCCAAGGCTTGGTGGGCAGCACCAATGGCACCAGTCACAAAAAAAGTGGGAATCTGTCTTGTTACAACTGTGGGGCTACAGGCCACCGTGCTCAGGATTGCAAGCAACCGTCCATGGACTTCAACCGGCAAGGTAAACACTGGGAGGTGCTGTATTTTCCTTGCTGTGCTGGTCATAGCTTCTGGGGTGGGGGTGGGGGGAGTATCCATGGCTGCTTGGCTTTTTGAAAACTTAGTAAACTTGTTTTTAAAGCCAACTTATTTAAAGGGATCTGGTTTCTGTTCCTGTACTCATGTTAGGCCATTCACAGCTGCCTGTGATTTCAGCTCTAGGGAATTCAGAGCCCTCTCCTGGTTTCTGTAGGCACCTAAACACATGAGCACAGGCAGACACATAAAGACACACAGACATACATACACATAAACACACACATCTTAAAAACAACAAAAACAAAAAAACATGGCCTCAGATCCTCCTTATCTAAACAGAATGAGCTGGATGGAACTTGTAGGGCTGTGGAGTAGACAGTGATTGCTGCCCCCTCCTGGAAGATATGTGAACATTAAGGGTGGGGCAGTCAGTTAAGGTTTCCCCCACAGCCACCTTTGCTGGTCTGTCAGTTCCCAGCAGCTATATGCCCTTGTGTCTTGCTGCTTTCTTCCTCGTGTTTCTTATTTCCTATAGTTTATCTTTGTTATTCAAATTTAAATATGTCTTCTATATTATACCAGGCTTATTCTGTTGTTGTTGTTTTATTGTCTGGCTTTGAACTCATGTTCCTCTTGTCTTGGTCTCCAGAGTGCTGAGATTATTAACATTATTGCCACACACCTGGATCACTAGGTTTACTATTGGTATTTGTTTTGGAAAAATTACAGTAAATTTAGAAAAGTTGGTCCCACTTTTCCCATCTCTGGGTTCCAAACATCTCCATTTCTGGTTGTACATAGTTTCTGTTGATCTTCAACACTTGGAGAGCTTTTAGAAGCTGAAACCTGTGACCTGACAGATCCAGTGGTGGTATAGGTGGCTGCCTCTCTTCCCAGAGCTGGCCTGCACCTTCTAAGTCCAGGCCTTTTTTGCCCACGTGAGTGTGCTGCCAGCCTGGGTGCAAGGTTCATGTCCAGAGAAAGAGATCCACGGCATGGAGAGATGAACTATGGTGCTCTTGGTCATTTCCAGAGAGTCTTGTAAACCCGTGCCATCCAGCTGTGCATGAGAGTAGTCTTTCCTAAGAGGTGGCTCAGGGCAGGTGGGTGGTGTGTGCACTTCTACAACTGACTCAGGCTTCACCCTCTTCTCTCTCTTTCTCTCTTTCTCTCTCTCTCTCTCTCTTTCTCTCTTTCTTTCTCTCCAGGAACTTTTAGGTTGAAATATGCCCCTCCAGCAGAAAGTCTGGACTCCACGGACTGATCCTTTTTTTTTTTTTGGCAACAGAACATTTTATTAAGCCATGAAAAAATCACATAGAGAACTGAAGTCAAGTTGCTGTGGAGCCACGGAGACCTAAGGAAAATCACATAGAAAACTGAAGTCGAGTTGCTGTGGAGCTTAATATTTTTAACCCAAAGGTGCTTTACTTTACTATACTGGATAGAGAATCTAGCATAGAAGTGCGTCAAACTCGATTTCATTGCCAAAATCCTAGTTTGGAGCTTGATATAAGGATTGCCTAGTGGACGTCTCCATGGCAGTGATGTGGCCACCACACTATTGTTGCAGTATGGAGACCTGTCTCCTGAAGATCGCTGGTCCTTCTAGGCTCACACATAAATTCCAGGGCAGCTATGCACGGCCTGAGTGAAGACTGCAGGTCGGAGTTCTCTCAAGTGGAGTTCCCCAGTCGGATCCAAGACCCCTTTGGGCTAGGAAGTGCCAACTGGATTTTGCCGTTTCCTAGAGTGGGAGCCTCATGTCTGGCTTCTTAAGGATTGCACTACCTGACAAGGACCTCTTCAGTCTGGGAGGCAGACTCTTCTGGGACCCAATAGTGTAGGGGACTCCATCAGTGGGCATTGGAGTTGGCACCAGCAGGCTGCTTGGCCTAGTACACCCAGAGGTCACAGGGTGTCCTTCTGCAGACACTTGGAGCAATTCCAGGTTTTTAATATTTTTTTCTGTAAACAAATTTACACAATATTAGTATATAAGACATAGCTCACTCTTGACAACTTCATTTCTAAGGGTCCAAGTCCCAGGGAATCCAGTCACCATGGCTTGAGACCACCCTTCCCATAGGTGGCTTTGAGCCTGCTCTCTCCAAACAAGAATCAACTCCTGAGGACATGGGAATGACTCGACTTTGTGAGTTAGCTGTGACTGATGCTCCTCATTCTTCAGGAAGCTGGCAAGTTGTCACGTCTCAAATGGCTTCCCCAGGACCCCAGCCCCAGAGCTCACTGCAGATGAATTCACACTTGAGACAAACATTCAACAGTAATACAGTCCTGTGATTTATGAACAAAAGACTGGAAACTGTCAGCTTCTTTTGTGTTAGGTTGTGTGTTGATAGTTAATTCCGTTAAAATTGCCTGGAAAACTTCAGTAGAGAGATGCAAGACTCCTCGAAACCACTCACCAGTTACAGTTCAGACCAGGGGTGGGGGTGGGTCCTCACTCAGCAGGGTAAGAACATTTCAACCCACCATAGTGGAGGCATGAGGGGCTTAGATCTTCGAGGTTAAAGGGAATTTTTTGTTCAAATAACATTATTTAAAATGCTGAAGCCTTCGGTGTTAAAAAATGGTAAGATCTTGCCAAGGTTTTTTCAGCTTTGTATTTATGGAGAAGAAAATCTCAGTCCTTAGACCATTCTTCAGATGGGACAATCACCTTCATGCAAAATTAGTGTAAATTACAAAATACCCTATGACTGGAGGCGCTGTGATGCAAGGCTTTCTATCCGTGGAGACCCACACGGAAGGCTTGAGTGTTGTCGATTCTATGCAATGCAGGATTGATAGACCTCTGTTCTGTTCATGGCACACAGTATCCCATCTATTCTGAGATGATGGTGATGAGGTGTTAGGGGATGCTTTGTTGATCTCTCACTCAGTAACACTACAAATGTCAAATACAAGAACTGACACAACTTTGCCTTAAAGAGCACCAGACTGGGATTGGTCGCATTGTGTTAATAAGGAAGACTTAAGAGTGTTCATTGATGTTTACGATTTTAATATTTCTGAAGGCCGTTACAGTGGCCTGGATATGTGCTGAAAGCCAAACTTTTAAATTTTTTGGTTTTTTTAAACAAAGAAATATTTTAAATAAATCCTATTTCAACACAGAAATTGTTGAAAACTGTCTCATAGCAAAAGGAAAAAATCATATTTAAGTTTTTTGTTTTGTGGTCAATATAGGGAATGGAAGTGTCTTGTTACCCTTTCAGCTGATAACCTGAAAGACAGCAGTCTGCTGTGACAACTCCCACATGACTTGTGGAATCCAGCTGAGGCGAGAGAGCCCCAGCACCATCTCAGCTGTCCAGACAGCAGAAATCTGTACTGTGCCTGGAGGCCGCCGGTTGTCTTTGAAAGAGCCTATGTGGCGTGGCATTTCTGTGAAGCCGGCAAGGATCACATCACGAAAAGGAGCATGCACAACATGGAAGCATAGACAGGTATTTGTGGGTGGGGCTCACTCCCAGAGCCTGTAGAGGCCATCAGCATGGCCAACACTTAAACTCCTTCACTGGGAGACTCCATTGTTACACACCAAACAAACCAGCCCTTTCCAGTCATTTTTCCCCAAACTGCTATGTCAGATGGCAGTGGTACCCAGGTGGGCATGGCCCTGGGACTGCGTCAGTTCTAATCCTGTGTTAATATCTCAGGGTAGGAAGTGGGTTCAGATAGGAAGGAGGGCACAAAGTTGGGACAAAACAGCTATGTGACTTTTATTGTTTAAGCAAACTACTCAATTTTCTTCTTTACTTTCTAATTTCTGTTTCATGCTTGATAGTAAAAATTGGAAAATGTTTTACCGCTGAAAACTCCTAACTTCTGAAGAGCACTGAGGAATGGGAGCTAGCTCTTATAATAAAGACAAAATATTTCTTGAACATACATACGGTTGGATATTAGGAAACCAGCTGCACACTCATCTCCCAAAGATGACAGCAGCCGGCTGGTTAATGCAGTAGTTAGCAGCTTCCGTGTGGAACTCCAGTTAGGCTTCCAGTCCTTTCTACAAGTCAGCTTGGCTTGTACTACAAGCACTTGCAGAGGCATTTGCAATGGCAGTACCTTTGCCTACATGTGTGCCATGACAGTCCCTTGAGGACAGCCTGATGGGAACTGGGTCTCACTCTCCTCACTCCGTCCCTGTCACTCTTTCTGCTTCCTGGTATTTGGTCTGACATGTGCTATTTTAACGGCCAGCTAATGGGTGACATTACTTGCTAAAGTCTTAAAAGGTTGCAGGACTGTCTGCTCAACCTCATCCCCAAGGGCAATCTTGGGGAACATGAGCAGTGTTAGCTGTCCTTTCCAAAGTGCAGGTGACTCCCATAGAGCAAGTCAGGTGGCCAGGCACGGGTCCAGAGAATGGATTGCTGGTCTGTCCCATAGTTTTGACTGAATGCAGCACCTGTAATCAACACTTGGCAATATTTCAGAAAACCACATGCTGTACTGGCAAGGCCAGGTCCAGGTCACTGTCCTACCACAAGGGAGACAGTGGCCCAGCCCTCAGCACAGGTCAGTTCTCACGCACACACAGAGGAGGTGTTGGTACCAAGACTGAACCTTCACAGATTCTATTGGGCATATTTTCTTTTTAGGAATGAAGGACAATTCTCCCCATTTTTGAGCCATTCTTTTGTCAATTCTACAAAATTGCATGTAACTTTATAAATATTTTTAAAAGATATAGTTTTGTAAATATTTAATATTCTGCTAATTTGATTTTGAATTGTAAATGTCAAGTATTCTGTTTTTGGGGTTTTTATGTTTTATTATACTTTGTTAAAAAGAAAAAATTGTACATTTTTAGACTGTTTTTATGAGTAAATTTAATGTACGGAAAATAAAAATTTAAAAAAACTCAAGTGTTCGATGTTCTCAGATCTTTGTCACAGAGGCAGGCCCCTTTCCCCCCAGTTCTTTCCCAGGTGAGGCACCATCCTTCCCGCCTCCAATTTCTAGGACTGATTTCTGCCAACGTTCCTAGCTTTGCAGTGTCCTCACAGTTCAAATACTTAAAATACTTAAAAGATATTTCAGCTGCACAGACCTTTAACAGTCGCATCCCAGGGATATATGGTATGGCCTGACCTGGTCTTCCAGGAAGGGGATCTGGTGACAGCACTACCTGAGACTGACTTCACCAGTATTTGTGGCATTGTGGGGGTTGCTGAGGCAGAGTACTAGATCTGAAAGGCATCTGCTACCAAAACCCTCTCAGATGTAGATCTGTTCAGTTTCCTCTAGACAGTATTGGCAACCCCAGTGTAGCTTCTTGGGCTGACCTGAGGAGACTCCTGAACAGCTTTACAGAGCTGCTATCTAAGCTGAATTGCTGACACTGTTTCCCAAGTACCAGCAGCTGTCCACATGAGTCAAGCCTCCCACACCATTCATCCTTTGGTGTGTGCACTCTGGTGGGCAAGGCCATCGTCATGTGTTCCACAGCACTGACCTGTATCCTGACAACTGGTACAGCAGTCAGCTCTCCAGAGAATTTAAAAACAGGAGCTAGTGGCAACATGTTGACCAAGGAGAGGAAGGTGCCCTCCCCCTTAGCACACTGCAGGGCCCAGTTCCCATGCTAACACCATGAGACAGCTCTCAGAACAGGTTTGATTGTGCCTTTATTCACTTAGTGCATCAAAGTGTACAGGTGTCCTATAAATGAAGGCCGCTCCTCTGAGCAGCAGTTTTTAAAGCAGTTTTACAGGAATCCTTATTGGTTGCACCGTAGTTATAAAAACTGGGGACATAATGACACACACAACCTATACAAGACAGGGTAGTCAGATATAATGATTAAAATATGATTAAATAAAATAACATTGAAAGTTAGCAAGTGGACAGTTGCATGCGGGGAGTTGGGGGGTGCCTGTTAGGAGCTAGGGTAGGACGTGGCTATGTTAGCTTCCCTCCATGACAACAGGCAGTTCTCACTGCGATTCTCAGATCACAGTCATGAGTGAATGACAGACGATAGTCTGAGTGTCACAGTAGACCACGTGCAAGTAGCAGTGGTTTGCTTTAGTTGGAACTGGCCATGGATATCTATCAAAAAAGCATGTGTCTCCTGCTGCTGTCATCTTCACAGCTGACATCTAATGCGCTGACATGGAGTGGGAGACTCTCAACAGCTGTCTGATAGAACTACCCTTACAGTTATATACGCTAATAAATTCTTTTATCGATGTAAAGCCAAATGCAGATGGAACACATTTGAACTTCAGTTGAGCCTGCCATTTCACAGCTGCATCCTAATGCCAGCACTGCATAGCTGCTTGCTCCCTTCCCTGAAGCAGGTATGGACCAGACAAAATCCAAACCATAAGAAAACACTTTGCTCTGCGGCCTCCTTAGATGCTGGACCAAGCGACCCCATGTTCAAGGCTAGAACTGGCCTTCTTTGCAGTGCTGAGTATCTGGTAGCATCTAGACAGCAGCAAGTAAGCTTTCCTGCACTGTTAGGGTGAGCATAGTGGTGCAGCTGGGGGTCAGGACCAGGCTACTTACAGCCATATCCTACATATCTAACCTGTTTTGGGCAAAGCTAGAGCCCTCTGGGGGAGAGGGGGCTCTGCTCGACAACCTAGGCCGAGGGACCGCTTAGGCAGACTTTTCTACTGAGTGGAAGCCCTTTTAGAGAAGGCAGCAGATTACAGGAAAAAATATCCCCTGATGCTGCTGTTCCACTTGGAATCCCTACTGAGGAAAAAAAATGTCAAAATAACTTGTCTATTTTATTGGCAACTTAGGATGCAAAGTATTTTATTTTTAAACTTCTAAAGTTTGAACACAAGAGAGCCTAGTTTAGATGAATTTCCAAGCTGAATGTGTTTGCATGGAGCTCAGTTTCTTGGCGACAAACAGTTCCTAATACCCTAGGTGGGCGCCTATGTTCTGATCTGTGAATGGTAAGCTGACCAGCATCTGCTGGCAACATCCCTTTTTTCCTTGATAAGGGCTTAACAAACATTAGGCATTGTTCTGGTCTTACACAGCCAGTGCTGTTCCGAATGTCTCCTGGGAGGCATACACCATGTACAGAAAGCCATCTTCATCCTTCTCACTCTCATACACTTCAGAGATGGGAGTGGACACGCTCACCATGCTGTGCCCATTCACCAGGAGGAAGAAAGCTTGATTGGCATTAAGCTGTAAGCGCCTTCTGTGGAGAGAAGACAGTGGTGGGGAGACTCACTAAAGTCTCCATACTGTGCAGGGGAGGGGGAAAAAAACTGACCTGGCAAAACTAAGCAAGTCCACAGCCCTCTTTTAGCATGGTACAGCTCTCAGTGATGGCTGGAATTAGAGACTGGCTCTATATCTAAGGCCAGCTTGAAATTATACAAAAAGCCATTAATGTTTAAAATCTACAACTGCTCTCAGCCTTCCAGGTTGCTGAAGTTCTGAGTCCACATTATTAACTCCCAACGTCCACAAACAAGCATTCCTGACAGTTTACTAGCATGGGGTGGGGGTGGGGGCTCAAACTGGGGCCCACAGTAACCCACCATATCTAGCAGTATTTTAAAGAATCATCCAGAATGTGTGTCCAACCTTTAGCCCCTCTGATGTGATTATCTTCTATAAATATGCTAGACTACATTCATAGCTGTCCTGAGATACATGCAGCTGCAGGGTGGACCCACCTGACTTACAAGGACATGAAAGAGGTAGGAGGGACCTAAGGCTGGCACCAACATGGGGGGAAAGGAGAAATGTCACTTGAGGAAACAAGAAATGGCCAAATACCTAATTATCTTGATGAGCTCACTCATATTCACATGATCCGGTACAAGGAACTTGGTTTTGTCCAGGACGGGCAGTTGCTTCTCACCCTTGTATCGCTCTATTATCACCTGCAAAGGCCAGAGACACTTAGCAGCAGGCACACTGACCCTCATGCTGTGGCCAGCATATGCCATGCAGAGTTGGCCCTAACCCAGTCTTCCCTTGACTTCCCCATAGCACTGTGACCAGTGTTCATTCACAGCTCTGCCTGTGAGATGTGGCACAGGACATGTAACCCTTTTTGTTGTTTAAACTGTTTGTGCTAGGATTAAAGGTGCATTTCTCCATACCTGGCTGCTTTTTAAAATAGTTTTATACCACTGGGCATTGGTGGCACACACCTTTAATCCCAGCACTCAATAGGCAGAGGCAGGTGGATCTCTGTGGGTTTGAGTCCAACCTGATCTAGTTCAAGGACAGGCTCCAAAGCAATAGAGAAACCCAGCCTTGGGGCAAAAAAAAGTTTCATACCACAGCCCAGGATAGCTTTTAACTCAAGGCTACCCACCTGCATCAACCTCCTACGTGTTAGGTCATAGACATGAGCCTCATCATACCCAGCAACATATACAGCCATAAGTTTTATAGATCTTGTGAGCTGCCGTGTGGGTGTCAGGAAGCAAACCCAGGTCCTCTGTGAAAGCAAGTACTCTAAGCCACTGAGCCATCTCTATCCCCCAAAATAATTTTTTTGTTCCCTGAGACTTTACATTCCAATCCCAGTTCCCCCCCCCCTCGCTTCTCCCATTCCCCCCTCCTCCTATCTGCTCCAAGAGGAGAAAATTTTCAAGAAATGTTAAAAAGCAGCTGGGTGTGGTGGCCTATGCTTTCAATGCCAACACTCATGAGGCAGAGGCAGGTCTGTGAGTTGAAGGTCAGCCTGGTCTACAGAGTGAGTTCCAGGATGGCCAGGGATATTATACTGAGAAATTCTTGAAACACCAAATAGATAATTAAAAATAAAATGGTATATGGATATGTGGCACATGTATAATCCCAGTATTTGGAGACTGAGGCAGTGAACAGGCTAATCAGGCTAACCAACCTCAAAAACCAAAATTAAATAAAAAGCTGCTAAAAGATCTGAGCATTGATGGGCCTCAGAACCTCAGTATACCAGTTTCCAAGTGCCATGGACATCCACCCAGAGAACAGAAATCCCTGCCTGGTCATGGCATGGCAAAGAGGAACACCACCACATGCTTCTGGAGAAGAAGTGCTAGTCTGAACATGCTCTATGGATGTGACCTGCACGTGGTTCCTTGAAAGGCCATCTCAAGCTGCCATCTCCATCCCTGGTAGATTGAAAACTACATCCTGTGAATTGCTTAGAAGCATGACATCCACAGGAAATGTCTGCTGTGGGCACCACATATTTGGTCTTTGAGGCAGACCCTCCACCAAAGTGCAAAGTAGTGAAGGAACATATAAGCACTCTTCTAGAAGGCCCAAAGTGTGAAACACTAGAGGACCCCTTTCCTTGCTCACTCACTATCCTGAGACTGGCTCTGAGCAGGTTCCAGCCCCTTCAACTAAACATGTATGGCTCCCACTCCTAAATTCTTTTCTTTTACTCTCCAATTTGGGAAGATGTACAAGGTATTAGAGGAAGACATGGCTGGCTGGTCTGAAAGAGGCCTCTGCCTTCCAGGTTTCCAACTTGGAATGCCCGGGAGCCAGACACTGTGGCTACCCTGTTCTCAACTAGGCAGCACTGAGCCTGGCTTACTTGGGGTCATGCGCAGTTAGGCAGCTCAGTTTCTGCAAAGACCCTGAAGTTACTGTAGAAAGGAGCCACTGGAGTATGCCCAGACCACGGCCCTGCAGGAAGCTGTATGCAAACCCTGGCAGGCTCAGGTGGCTGTGCTTCCTGCAAACAGGTCAGGCAGGCACTCCAAATGAAGGGCTGTTTCAGTCCAGGAAAAGCTACTCATGGGGCCCTGCCCAGAAAGTGTACTCCCAGGAAGCCTTACCTCCATATGAGGACGGACTGGGAAATGTCCAACCAGTGCAGAACATGTCCCACCTTCCCTCATTCTGCAGCAACCCCTCTCTCTTCAACTTTCCTCTTTCAGAGAATGGTTTGATGGGGTTGGTGAGAAAGCTACACAGAGACACACCTGTAGGACTTAGCACTGGGGGATGCCCTTCTAACACAGGGGCAGCTGACATCCTGAGAGGCTAAGTCCTCTTCTTCTGTGAAAGAGGCACCACATCAGAATTCCTCCCAGAATGTAGGGACAGCTGTAGAACACTGAGCCACTTTAAACCTTGGGGCCTGTCCATGCCTGACTTCACAGCTCTGTATAAGGACTACAACCAAGGAGCACATCTTGCAGGGGAGGGGGGTACTAATTGCTGGCTGTCACTCAGTAGAAGCTGAGAGTCATGTCTCTTCATCTCCTACAAAGCAGCCATGACTCCCTGAGGACTACTGATTCCCACAGAAGTCATCCTTGTTTCCCTTACAGTGGTGGCTAGAGTAGAGTTCAGTAGTCACATGCTCTAGCCCTGGGTTCAATCCTGGTATCACAGAGGAAAGAAAGGAAAAGTTCTAGTTCATCTGACCCTTGAACATGCACAAGAGCAAGTAGCAAGTTCTGATTAGGAAGAAAAGCATGTGGTTAGGTGGGCACACAAAGCCCATAGGGCTCTTGGTGGTGGTGGTTTCTTGAGGGGAGAGGTGCAGGGTCCCCTCTTGCCCACAAGAAGTATCATCACAGCCACAGTAGAACCTACTGGGATCTTGGTGGGGTGCTGCTCCCGGATGAGCCGGACATCTTCCACTCTTTGTTCTGCAAGAAAGGAAGAGAAGGTGACATCAGGGGCCATGCTACCAGTTCCTGCTGGTGGACTGTCCTATATGAGGACACCTCTCCCTGGACTTCGGGTTTGGATCACATCTCACCACTGAGCACTGAGGCAGTCTGTGGGCCCAACAGCAATGGCAGGTCTGTCAGGCAGTTCAACACAGCCCAGAGGGTAAAAACCCTCATCTCAAGGGACTACAAACCCAGATGTATAGCCACACACAGCAGCTTAACTTTGTAACTTGGGGGAGAAGGGAGGAGGGTCTCCCAGTCTCTCCTCTAATACTTTCTTATCATTCCTGTCAAGTTTTGCTAATATATCAGTCCAATGTGGACAAACCAAGGACTAAGGCATTTTCATTTAGCATTAAGTGGTACTATTCAGGATCTGTTTATTTTCTGAAATGGAGACCCTCTTGCCTGTGCCTGAGTCTACCCAGTGCTGAAATTACAGCTGTGCACCTGGGCTACACATGTGAGACATTCTCCAAAAGCACCCCCCAAAATCAAAACCCCATAGAGTCTGCTGATGGACCCTTCCCTGAGAATACCTCCCTTTTACTGTCTGGTTTTGGAGCTAAGGTCTTCTGTAATAAATCTTGGCCTCAAACTCATCATGTAGCTAAGAATGACCTTGAACTCCTCAGCCTCTACCTCATAAGTGCTGGAAGGCCTATAGCCAGTCTTTTCAACAGTGTACCAGGCTTTCTGTGCTAACAGGGAAAGCCTGGGGCTCAGTAAGGCCATACAGCTGGGGACACCACATTCATGAAGGAGGAGGTGATGTTAAGCAAAACAAAACAGAAATATGGCACTTTGGGGTAGGACTCATGGTCTCTGTAAACACTTGTGAAAAGTCTTGAGAAGGTTCCAGAAAAAAAATGGTGTTGTCTGTGACCAACACAAAGACATTTTTTGTGTCACCTTTTAGAAAGGCCATGGAAATAATTTGTATTAAGTATAATCACATGGTTTTGCTCCCATGTTCCTAGGCAGTACTTAAAATCACCTTAAGCAGGGACTCAGAGATTAACAAGGAACATGGCTCCCACAGATAAGAGGCGTCCTGATATTTCCACTACTAGTTCCTCTTGCAGAAAAATGAAGGGTCAACAGCAAATTCAACTGGTATTCATTGTAAACTCAAGGGGTTGGGGATGTGCTTACTGACAGAAAGTCTCCTGGTACATGTCAGGCTCTGCAAGTCCCTAGCACTGAGGGGCTTACCTCTTCACCCTTCTCTAGTCTCTGAAGAGCTGGCTGTGCTCTCTGTACCATTTCTCCCTGTCACTCCACAGATGGGATGGTACCATCTAAAAAGAGGCTTCCTGCCTCTTTCTAGAAATATCCTCCACTATATCCCTGCTGAATACTCCAGAGTGTAGGGTAAGTCACTGCAATTAACTCATTCTAATTCTAACAAGTAGCTGCTTACATACCTGGCAGACATTCCATACTTCCAGAGCTGCAGAGATGTCTCAACAGTTAGGAAGGAGCACTGGCTTCTCTTGAAAAGGACCCAGGTTCAGTTCCCAGCACCCACATGTGGCTTATAGCCATCTGTAACTCTTTTCTGGCCTCCATGGGCACCAGCAATGCACACAGTGCACAAACATACATGTAGGCAAAAAATCATACAAAAAATAAAAATTAAAAGCTTAACTCACAAGGCCTCAAAGCCCAGCTTGGCCTACAGAGCTAGTTCCAGGACAGGCTCCAAATAAATACAGAGAAACCCTGTTTCAAAAAACAACAACAACAAACAAACAAAGCAAAACAAAACAAAAAAACCCAAAAAACAAAGCTCTTTCTTTTAAACAATAAAATAAAAATCACCAGGCAGTGGAGGTGGTGGCACACGCCTTTAATCCCAGCACTTGAGAGGCAGAAGTAGGTGGATCTTTGAGAGTTCAAGTCCAGCCCATTCTACAGAGTTAGTTCCAGGACAGCCAGGGATACAAAGAGAAAAACTGTCTTGAAAAAAACAAAAAAACTGGTGTGGTGGTATACACCTTTAATCCCAGTAGAGAGATCTCTGTAAATTCAAGGCCAGCCCAGTCTACATTGTGAGACTGCTTAAAATAACCAACCAACCAACAACAAAAGAACCCTAAATTATGCTGGGAGGTGGTGGCACACGCCTTTAATCCCAGCAGAGGCAGGAAGATCTGTTAGTTCCAGGCCAACCTGGTCTACAGAGTGAGTTCCAGGACAGGCTCCAAAGCTACACAGAGAAACCCTGCCTCAAAACAGAGTCATACACTGGCACATGTTAAGATGGGAATACTCAGAGTTATTTTCTAGAGTAGAAGCAGTTATCACCCATAAGTGGAGAAGGGAAAGATCAGGCCAAAGGGCTCTACCATCAGAAACTACAATGTCATTCTGATTTGTCCCAAAATAAGGCCCCAAAGGAAAGACAGAAATAGTTTTGGGTTTTAGCCAGCTGGCCTCAAACTCAGAGATCCACCTGCCTCTGTCTCCTGAGTGCTGGCATTGAAGGTGTGTGCCACCACTGCCCTGATAATAGATGTCTTAAAGTAAACAAGGAACAAAACTGATGGCCCATAAGGCTTATTCAGCCTTTACCTGGCTGCAGGACAGTGAACTGGGGTCCTCTGGAAGAATGGGGACATTCAGGGCATGCTGGAGGCCTTTGTAAGCAGACAGCTGCTCAGAGGCCAACAGTTTGTACTGGAGGAGACTGGTTCTTTAACTACAAGAACATAGTTATCATGCCTCTCTCGACACTAGCCCATGCAACCAGTTTCAGCATCTCAGCATCCCAAGTGCCCCTCACATAGGCTTGCAGAAGATGACTAATGTCCAAATAAAAACCACAACAACACAGCAGTCAAGAGCTGCAGAGGCCCAGCAGGGTCCAAGCCTAGGCTCCTTCAGCTTCGGGAACCAGGAGTTCCAGGAGCAGATAAAGAGAGGATAGAAGTGTAAGTGTTTTTCTAGTGCCTTGAAAGGACAGATGCCACTCCCCCCCCCACACACTGCTAAACTACCTCTCTCTGCTGGGCCCATCCCTGAGACACAGCTTAAGTTTCTGAAACTACCTAGGTGTTTTGAGTAGGAAGGTCTCACTATAAAGACCTGGCTAGCCTGAAGTCACTAAGTCAACCATGCTGGCTTCAAACTCAGATAGGCCTGCCTCTGTCTCCCCAGTGCTGGGATTTAAGGCTTGACATCTAGTTAGACCTAATGGGAATCTTACTCTCCAGCAGAGCCATCAGTCCCTGGGGCTATTAATTTTGGCCTAGCACACAAACTTCCCTGGAGACACCAGGTCACTGGTGCTTGGACCATAATGAAAATTGAGCACTGTTGGTCTCTTAGTTTAAAAAAAAAAAAAAAAAAAAAAAAGGTCACTTTTGAGAAGAGTGAACCCTGGAATCAGTTGATCAGTTTCCCCACCCCCCACCCAGACAGGGTTTCTCTGTGTAACATGGCTATCCTAGAACTTGCTCTGTAAACCAGGCTGGCCTTGAACTCAAGAGATACACCTGCCTCTCATTTAATCAGTTTTAACCTTTAAGTTGGTCCTATCTTTTTAAGGATCTGTAAGGGTGCCCAGCCTCCAAAACGTCTTAGTACACCTTCCAGCACTGGGGATGATGGCTACTTACTGGAAGTGCAAGAATTTATGACAGAAAGCTAATGGGATTCTGCCACTAGGCGGATCCTGAGCTTCACTGCCTTAGGCCCCACCCAGGTTCTTCATCTACAAAGGGTCTGTTTGGGATGAACCCTAAATCTACACAGTAAGCATCCCCTCAATGAGGATAGGAAGACTCCAGAACTCCACCAATCTAAGTACCTTAAAATGGAGAAGCAAGTCTGGGCTTGGCTTCCACAAAGAGGCCCCTCCAAAAAACGTCTGAATCGCAAACCTCTAAACTCTGTGCCCACAGTCAGGACCACTAAAGTCAGAAGTAAGGAAAACAGCAGCTATCAGATCCCCGCGCTTTCTTCAGAATGGCTGGGGTAGGGGAGTTGAAGGCGAACTCGGGATAAACACTTAAAACGCGTTCTACGGTAAAGACATATGGAACACTGGAAGAGTTCACCCTCGGCCCAGCCACCCTGGGGATCCGGGTCCTAGCTAATGTGCACGTCTCCCTCCCCCGCCCCCCGCCACTCCTCTCCTTTCTTGAGGACTGTTCCAGAATAGCTAAAAATCACAATAGTTGTCAAATATCCGTTATGAGACAAAGGCTTTCTCCCCCTACAAAAACGTCCCCAGGCGACTGCCTAAGCAGAACCAGCTGGGTGCTGCCCCGGGGCTTACGGGACGCCCGGACTTGGGGCCCATTAAGGACACTGCCGAGAGCGCCGCGGCGCGGCTTCCGTGCCCTCCGACCCCTGGGTCGGATTTCCAATCCCGGAGGGGACGCCGAGACCATCGACGACCAAGGGGACTGAGCCAGCAGGGACTGCGAAGCTGGGAGATGGAGACCCTACCTGCCCGTCACGGCCCCACAGGGATCCCGACCACCACCCCTCACGACACCAGCCGGATCTCCCACCCCAGGGCCCGCGGCACGCACCGAAGCTGCGGCGCTGCTTGAAGGTCTTCTCGGAAGGCATGGCGCGGGGGTCCGGAGTCGGAGGAACTAGGTCCCGCGACGGCCACTTCCCTTGTGTCTTTTCAGCCCGCAGCTGAGTCAGGTGACGCGCGGTACGTCAGCGAGGGCGGGACCAAGGGCGGCCCCGACAACCGCCATGACTAGAGTGGCGGAATCCAGGGCGAAGCGCGTGCGTACCAGCGCCCAAGGAACTGTCTGTTCTGCGCGTGCGCCGGCCAGGCTAGGCGAGTCCTGGTGAGAGTCAGTTAAGGGTCTGTCTCTCCCTGAGCTGGGTCCCTGTGATGTGGGGACTTGCAGAAGCCCTTGCGCCTCTGCTCACGCATGGTCCAGCCGGTGTCCCAGTGCCTCCCCCCTTTGCCGATGTCATTTGACATCCCTAAATTCTCCAAAAACACCGCTGGAGGTCTTGCCTGCTAAATAATCTTTACGTTTATGAACCCCAAGATGGCCGGTTGTGGTGGTTCACGCAGGTAGGGTTTGCTGAAGGAGGCAGAGGCAGGAGGATCACGAGTTCGAGGCCAGCCTGGACTACACATACACATTTAATTGGGGGCTGGAGAGATAACTCAGCTGTCCTTTCACTGACAGATACTTTTACCTCAGCTGACCCCTGGGTGATTTTGTCACAAGCCTGTCCCCTCTTTGGCTCCTGCTGTCTACTTAGGCTGCTACAGAGCCTGGGCCTGCCCACTCCTCCTCACCCATGGCTGCCTACGGTCTAGGACAGGTTTCAATCTTATCAGACCACAGCCCTCAGCCTGTCAGCAAGTCTTAACCTCAAGTATGAGCCTCAAGCTCCCTGTGAGAGGCAACACTGCTTTCCCACTTGAGTTTATAAGAGCAGGTGACAGGTATAGTGCAAACCACCAGCACGGAGCAGCCACCCCCAGCTCTGTGTGTGATGCCATGTCTGTGCCAGCCTGGTGTCCTTGCAGATCTACTGCCTTGAACTGCACTGTCCCTACACCCCAGACTTCCTCCTTCAACTCTGGAAACAAATTTCTTCACATGCTGTTTGTCAAAGGGATTGATTGCCTTATGCATCAGTGTGAACAGGAAACATTCAGAACTTATTATTAAGGTCTCAGAGGGCTGTTCATTTTTGTTTGTTTGCACTGTTGTTTGCTTGAGGGCTATTGTCTTGTGTGAAACTCCTGCACTGAGGCCCAAGAAACAAGACTGAAAATCAAAATGGAAGCCAAGTCTGCTGACACAAGACCTATTATCCTAGCTCCCTGGAGGCTGAAGCAGGAGTATCAAAAGTTCAAGGCCAAATTGGACACAGTGCATAGGACACAGACCTTTAATCCTGGCACCCAGAAGAGAGACAGCTTGTCCTACATAGCAAGTTCTTACACAGTGAGAACCTGACTCAAAAAAGGGGGTGAGGTGGAGTGGGGTTGGCGGGATGGCTCAATGGTCAAGGGCACAGGCTGCTCTTGCTAAAGACCCAGGCATGGCTCCCAGCTGAAGACAGCCGGTTGCTGTCTACTCTGAGGGCTCTCTGTGGAGTAGAAGCAGCTCAACTGTAATGGCAGCTGTAGGGGACCTGACACCCTATTCTGGCCTCCTCAGGTACCAGGTACCCGAATGTACATGCATGCATACATACAGGCAAACATTCATACACATGAAATAAAAATCTTTTTATGTTTTTTTTTTCCAGAAAGGGTTTCTTTGTGTAACTGCTGTGGCTGTCCTGAAACTCTCTGTAGATCAGGCTGACCTTGAACTCTAGGAGATCTGCTTGCTATTCCTAAATGCTGGGACTAAAAGTGTGAACCATCCAGCCCTACCCATTGTAACCCTATCTCAAAAGACAAACAAATAAACAAGAAAAGAATGGAGCAGGCAGTAGTGGCACAAACCTTTAATCCCAGCACTTGGGCAGGGGGATCTCTGTGAGTTTGAGGTCAGCCTGGTCTACAGAGCTAGTTCCAGGGCAGCCAGGGCTGTTACACAGAGAAACCCTGTCTTAAAAAACAAAACAACTAAAAAGAATGGATTGACCCAAGCTAAAATTAATGATTCAAACATAAATTAAAACACCTTTCTTTAATCCAGCACCTGGGAGGCAGAAGCAGGCAGATCTAGTCTACATAAGGAGTTCCAGGCCAGCCAGAGTTTCATAGTGAGACACTGTGCAGGTCTCAAAACAAACCCCCAAAACAGGAACTGTGGAGCTGCTTCTCCTAGCAGGCTACTTCAACCAGTACAGAAGGGTCTTCTGCCTTTCCAAGGTAGTCTGATGTCAGCTAGTTAATTTTCTGTTGTGTGTCCCCACCTTAGGAGGAAAGTGATTTGGAAATGGCTAGTCTAACATTGCTGCCTGCTTTCATTTAATTTTTATCTTGTTTATTTACGTATTTATTTATTGACTGATGCTTTCTTCAACTTCTCTCTGGCTATAGAACCACCTCTGGCACCTGGCTCAGGAGGACAAAAGTCCTGGGTTGTGGAATGAATTGTTATGTAACTTCAGAACAAAAATTAAAGCGAATTAAAAATTTTCTAGGCGTTGGTGGCGCATGCCTTTAATTCCAGCACTCAGAAGGCAGAGGAACGTGGATCTCTGTGAGTTCAAGGCCAGCCTTGTCTACAGAGTGAGTTCCAGGACAGCCTCCAAAGCCATCTAGGTCCTAGGGAATGTAGCCAAGTTGTATAGTGTCCCCAGTATGTATAGGACCCTGAGTCTGAGCCCTAAAATACAAGAAAAACCTTCAAATTGTAGATTTATTCTCTGACAACAAGAGGCTGCTTGTTTTTCTGTGTGTTTATGACAGTTAGCCTTGCCTGATGATGCTTTCTTGACTAAACTGTGTATGTGTAAGAAATGATTTTTCTTATTCTTTTTGCCCCCTGCAGTGGTAGCATGTGTCTTTAATTTGGGAGGCAGAGAAACATGGATCTCTGAGTTCTAGACTTTTTGTGTTGCTGAACCACACAAAATACAAGGAAACGAAATGTCACACCTGGCTTGTGGCAGTGGAGTAAGGGAAAGAGAGATGTTTACCTTCCCCAGGGCAACCCCAGAATCCCAGGCCTCTGGCTTATCAACAAAGGTTTGCAGAAATGAATACCAGGGTTGCTCTTTTGTGTTTGCAATGGTGACATTTACACCTTTGCAAGATGCTCTGACACCATCCCAAGTTCTCATTGCAATGTGAATCTAGAACCATACATGCCAATAAGATGTGAGAAGAAAACAAACCAAACACAAGGTGGAATCCAATGGTGCTTTGCAAGTCTTGCCTCCCCCAGGAGAAGGACAGCTTATGGTTACAGAATACAGATTCTATTCAAAGTGGGCTAATATTTTTTCACATACAAACACAAGATGCAGAACCTTGGAAATTTGCAAACAGGAGTGTGCCTGAGTAGACAGACATGAACCACCTAGGAGATTCCAGTCCACCTGAGTCTGTTTGGTTTTCTTTAGTATTGCAAGGAACTGAGCCAGGCCCTAGCAGTTGCTAAGTGAGTGATCCAACACCCCCAGTGGTGGAGTGCCTGCCCAGTTTCCCAAATACCGTATGTTCCAGCCCCAGTCAAAACCAAAACAGAAGGTGCATGGTTTATATGATACATAAATTATGGTTAATTTTTAATATTCATTCATTATTTTGTGTATAAGTTTTATCTGTATGTATTTCTGTACACCATGTGATACAGACACTGGCATTGGATCCTCTGGCACTGGAGTTACAGACCGTTGTGAGGTGCCATGTGGGCACTGGAAATTTAACTCAGTTCCTCTGGGTGCTCTAAGCCCTGGGACATGGCTCCAGCTTCCATGGTATAATTTATTTTTAGTATTATGATTCTTCTCTCTGAGTCACAGTACAGTAGGGGAAAAAAAAAAAAAAAAAAAAGAACACAACATTTCTATTTACTCCGAGAATTTTCTGGTGGTTTTAAATTTAATCCAAGCACTCTGGAGGTAGAGAGACAGGAGTATCTTTGAGAGTTCCAGCCACCCTTGTATACATTGTGAGCCTTTTTCTAAAAATACAAACTAAAAACATAGCAACCAAACTGCTCATTTTTAAAAGATTTACTATGTATACAATGTTTTGCCTGCATGTCAGAAAAGGGGACCATATCTTATACTTCCTTGTGTGCCATTATGTGGTTGCTGGGTATTGAACTCAAGACCTCTGGAAGGGCAGCCAATAGTCACCAAACTGCTAATTCTTGAGTCCATGCGGTGGCACTTTGAAAAATTCCCACCTCGCTGCTTATTCATACTGGGAGGTAGATGACAAAGCACCTGAAAATCGACCCTCTCTTCCAACGATGAGCCTAGGGTGGCATCTGTGCAATCCAGAACGTGGAAAGCCGGATGTCAGGATACCAGAGGACTGGAGGACACTTCCTCCTGCAGCACAGAACGGAGGCGCCACACTCAACATGGAGAGCGCTGGAGTCCTGGGCGTGCACAAGCCCCACCCCGCCCCTATTTCCTTTTGATTGGAAGAAGCCGCCCATCTGCTTTGTTGTCTGAGAATCTATTGGCCAGCTGTGCAGTCAATCTCAGCCTCACCTGCTCTTTAGTACAAGTAAACAAGACTTGCCCAAGAACATCGAGGGGAGCAGGGCGGTGTATTGATGACCTGTGACCAGCGGGGACAGTGACCTCGGGGGAAACCTCTGGGCCACTGGGACGGCGTCACTTGGTCCCTACTCGCCGCGGGGCTGTTCAGGCTTGCTTGGTGGTCGCTTTTGGTTCCCTCCCAGCGCCTTTTGGGGGCTTTTTCCCTCACTTTCTACCTCGCGCACTTGTGCTTCTCACTCCTGGCAGGGACAAATAGACGCTTTTCCCCATCACTTACATATTTATTATTTCAAAGTTCTCATATTGTAGCCTGGGCTGCTCTGTAACTCGTATTCCTCCTGTTACTTCAGCCTCCTGGGTACTGAGATTACAGGCATGAGCCACCATGTTTTACCCTGTCGACTGCCACCCCTCCCCCAACCAGGTTGGCCTTTCTGTGTGTATCCCTGGGTGTCCTGGAACTCCCTCTTTGGACCAGGCTGTCCTCGAACTCAGAGATCCGCCTGCCTCTGCTTTCCTAATTTGCCACCAGCAAAGTCAACACTTTTTGCTTGATTTTTGTGACTTGGTTTCAAGTAGCCTAGGCTTGACTTCCAACTCCCAATGTAACCCAGGATGAACTTCAGTCCCCACAACTCCCAAATAAGTGGTGACTCCCTCCCTCCCTCCCTCTCTTCCTCCCCCTGTCCCTCCCTCCCTCCTTCCCTCCCTCTCTCCCTGTTTCAGTAAATTTACAGGGCCGCCCACTGAAAAACACACTGTCCCATTTTCTTATTTTCTCTCACTAACACATCACTATTGCAAGCCTGCTTACTTTACTCTTCCGTGTAGTTTCCCTGATTTTAATAGGACTGCAAGACTGTAAAGCATCTTAAGTATGGCTGGGGTTTCTTGCAGGTCTCTTGCCTTATACCCTACAGTGTGTGTCAGAGTCTGCACTGCCCTGCCTGTGTTCTGCCCTTCAGTTGCTTCTCATACTCCTCCCTCTCCTTTTCTTTAGGAGGCTTCCTTCCCCTCGGGGTCCCCTTTTTACTTTTATGTACTAGATTACATACACAAGTTTAAATCCAGGGCCCACATATGAGAGAAAAACCCGTGTTGTTCCTCTTTTTGAATCTGGCAGTTACTTAATAGAATTACCTCTGGTTCCATCCATTTTCCTGCAGACATCATAACTTCATTAATTTTTACAGCTAAATAGAATTCCCTTGTGTACGTGCACATTTTCCACATCCATTCTTCGGGTTTCCATCTCAGGGCTGTTGTGAATAGTTGCACTGAACACCCTCTTAATGTCTCTGTGGCGTGTGGATTTCAGAGTCCTTCAGGTATGCACCCAGGAGTGGCATAGCTAGGTCCAGTTTTAGATTTCTGAGGAACCTTGATACAGATTTCCATAGCCTCTGCCCCAGTTTCCATTTCCAATAGCTCTGCACAGAGCCCCACCATTTTCTTTCAAATGCCCCCCCACTTTTTATTTGAAGCTTTGTAAAAGAACTTGGTTATATGTAGAGCTACCCGTGCAAGAGATTTCTAAATTTTGTGTACTACTTAATTTTCACCTGTGCATAGCAAATGCTAAACCAGGACAGAACGTGTCTGTGTACCATGAAACAATCTTGCATGTTCATCAGCATCCCACGCTGTGCTGGAAGCCTGAGCTGGCTTCCCAAAACACGGCCTTCAGGATTGCATCATCCTCTGTGGTACTGGCTCTATCTCCTGTTTCATCTGCTCAGATTCCATTCTGGCCAGAGCCTGCCTGCCATGCCTTTCTGCCTGCTCAATCCCTGCTTCCTGGCAGGTCTTTGCTTTCCTATCTTTGTATATGTCATTGCCTGGCACAGTTCTCAGCTTCCTTTGCTAACTTGGTACTTAGCAAGTGTCTGCCTCTCTTTTCCTTCCAGAACATTCTACCTCTTGTGTTTTTCTCCTAACTGACTTCACTTCTTTATATATGTACATATTCATCTATATTCGTTGTATTTTTCATATATATATATATATATATATATATATATATATAATATTTTGGGGGGAGTGGCTGGAACTGATCATTACTATGTAGATCAGGTTGACCTTGAACTTGTAGAGATCAGTCTGCCTTGCCTCTAGAGTGCTGAGATTAGAGGTGTGCAACACTTCTGAGGCCTTACCTGTTTTCCTTGGTATTTTGGTGTTGGGGATTGAATTCAGGGCCTGTGCACTTGTAATTACAAATACTGCATCCCCCAAAGATCCTTTCTCTTGAGTATTCAAGCAAAATCCAGTCTCCTCCCTGAGCATAAGCATCACTATACACTGATTAACAGAATTACATATACTCTGTAGATTTGTGTCTTTCTGTCATTTTTTTTAAATTGCAGAGTTCCAGAAGTCATGGTGTGAACATAGCCACATTTCTTCTTCTTTTAAATATTTATTTATTATGTACACAGTATTTTGCCTGCATAAATGCCTGCATGCTAGAAGAGGGCACCAGATCTTTTTGTAGATGGTTGTGAGCCACCATGTGGTTGATGGGAATTGAACTCAGAACCTCTGGCAAAGCAGTCAGTGCTCTTAACCTCTGAGCCATTTCTCCAGCCCCCACATTTCTAAAGAAGAAAACGTGGCCAGATTATTTTATGTTTTAATAAGCGCTCAGCTCCTCTAGGGAAGGTTATGCTGTATTAATCCTTTTCTGCCCAGCTCCTGTTATTGACATTGTAGGAGGATAAATTTGTTGTCTGTATTTCTTGAGACAAGCTGTCACCTGTAGCCCAGTGAGTTGCCTACCTTAACTTCTGTTTTGGGTCTAGGGTCACTCAGAGATTAGCCATGAGCATGAATACATTTTTAAAATTTATTATTAGATTTAAATTTAATTTATTTCATTATCTTTATTTATTATTATTATTCTACACAGAGTGTCTCTGTGTAGCCCTAACTGTCCTGGAACTCAGAGAAGCATGCACAAAGCAATAGTGCCTAGTCTACTCAGGCAGCTACAAAAGCTGATGCAACTCCCTATACCCTGGATTCTCTAGTCTTCCTGTTCCTCATTCCTCAGCATGACACTTTGTTTTCATTTCAAAGACTCAGAGAGTAACTATGCAGGTCCCCACGTCCCCACATGCTGGTTGCCACATTCAAACGGTGTTTGTTTTATAATAAACCAGGACCTTTGCCCTGAGGGACAACATAAGAGGTGTGCTGTCCAGGCAGATTGGGAACTGCATTTTCCAGGAGACACTGCTGCTCCCTCCCACCAGGGCTGCCGATGCAGAGCATCAGGCAAGAATGGAGGCGAGACAGAAACTAGCTAGGGGTAGAATATAAGGAAATGTGTGACCTGGTGAGGTGTCAGTGAGGCCAGTGGATGCTTCCAGTAATTGAGCAACACAGCAACATGCTGGCGTTTGTTTATGTGTTACCACTCAAAGGAACAGCATCTAGGAAGCCTGCAGGCAGGATGCATCTGGTCTTGAAGGGAGACTCTTGAGGCATTGAATTGTGGGGGTCCTAGGTGCAGAGGCTGGATTCTGAATTAGGACACACACCTCATTGTTGCTCTGTCTCCTCAGTGAAGGCTCATGGACATGAAGCCCGTGAAATGGTGGACCTGAGGAGGTTCAGCTTGGAGTGGACAGTCCAGGGCCTTGGTCACACACCCATGGGCCTTAACACACCAGAACATGAGGCAATGTGTGTTCAGTTACACCCTTATTATTATATAGCTTAAGTTATTTAATTATTTTATTATTATTATTACTTCTTTTTTTAGTTTTTCGAGACAGGGTTTTTCTGTGGCTTTGGAAGCTGTCCTGGAACTCGCTCTTGTAGACCAGGCTGGCCTCGAACTCACAGAGATCCTCCTGCCTCTGCCTCCTGAGTGCTGGGATCAAAGGCATGCGGCACCACTACCAGGCTTATTTATTTATTTATTGACATGAAATCTTGCTGTGTAGCTCAAGATGTCCTCCTGCCTCCGCTTCCTCGGACTGGTATCATAGGTTACCAAGTGGAGCCTTTGATTAATGTTATTATCAATCAGTCAATAAATTAGGCGATATTTGTTTGCTTGTTGGGGGGTGTGAACTACAAGGGAGCACACAGGTCAGTGATAACTAGAGCCTTACATTGGCTTTTTATGAGACAGGCTGGCTTCAAAATCACTAAGTAGTCAAGGATGACCTTAAACTTCTGATCCTCCTGCCTCGATACCCCAAACACAATTTGAGATTAGAGACAACCATGCAAATAGCTAATTTTAGATATATAAAAAAGTGATGATATATTCATATAGAGTCATGAAGTGGAGAGAACTGCAGCTTTCCAGAGAGGGAAGTTTCTAGGTACTTTGTGCTATGCAGGAAAACGTGAGCTGGAGAGCAGGTTGCGAACACCAGGAATTCCTACTTTACCGGACCTTCCCTTTGCTACCCAGGCGCAACTTGGGCAAGTTGGTTTAGACGTGGCGTTGCTAGGCGACAGTAACTTTAATTTCCTTTGCCAGATTTTGCTCCCAGCGAGCTCGCCTGTGCAAAGGCCCTGGCTCAGCAGAGGTTACTAAGGAGCCTCGTTAGCGCAGTAGGTAGCGCGTCAGTCTCATAATCTGAAGGTCGTGAGTTCGATCCTCACACGGGGCATCCGGCTTCGTTTTGTTTGGGGTACAAGACTACAAGATTCATTGTATCAAGCGAGGTCAGTGGTGGGAGGAATGTGGCAATTTCTAGGGGCGACCTTTTCAGGGCCTTAACCCCACCATCCTCATTTTGTGGGCAGCTGGGCATCTTAGGCGCAGGAACCAATCGCTCTCTGGCCAGGAGCCTGGGAATGGGGCGTGGCAACATCCATGGGCGACAGTGTGACCACATGTAGGGGCGGGTTCTATTTGCTGAGGGGCAGGACAAAGTGTCTGAGTGCTGCGGGGTGGTCCGTGAAGAGCCCACCTCTGGGGTGCGATTCTTTCTCCCTCGCGGGGCAGGGCGAAACTCTGCGGGTGGGGCTTTGCCGGAGGGCGTGGCCACGTTTGGGGTGGAGCTTGAGGCTCTGGCAGGCCCGACTAAGGCCGTCTCGCCTACGCAGATCGCTGTGCGTGCGCGCTCGCGTGCTCGCGTCCACGGTGGTGGAGGGTATGGCGGTGTGCGCTCGGCTCTGCGGCGTGGGCCCCGCGCGTGGGTGCCGCCGCCGCCAGCAGCGCCGCGGCCCGGCCGAGACTGCGGCGGCGGACAGTGAGGCAGACACGGACCCCGAGGAGGAGCGTATTGAGGCGGGGCCGGCGCGCTGCTCCCTGCTGGAGCTCCCTCCCGAGCTGCTGGTGGAGATCTTCGCCTCGCTGCCCGGCACCGACCTGCCCAGCCTGGCGCAGGTCTGCAGCAGGTTCCGCCGCATCCTGCACACCGACACTATCTGGAGACGGCGCTGCCGCGAGGGTGAGTATGGGCATCCCATATCTTGGGCATTCATTCGGTCGAGGTAGGAGCATGGTGCAGAGTGCCAAACCAGGCCTGGCTGCAGAGCGAGACTCTCTGACTTATAAAACCAATTAGCCAAGAGGCCTGGGCTGTAGCGTGAGACCTGTCTTCAACCTCCCCTCCTCCCCCCTCAACAAACACCCAAACCTAGCTAGCCACACGTCCACTGCATTACTGCAAGAAAGAGGACATAAAAGCTGTTAAAGTCTCATTTGGAAGACCTTTCTTCTTGTGCATACAGCAGGGTATTCTCAGCCTGAGTGGCTTATTAGTGTGTGTCCTAGAGCCTTTCCTGGGAAAGCTTCAGGGATTCTGCTGCCTGCATGCCACATAGGCTAATCCCCTGATTGTGGGCTTCAGCATTTTCCGTCTTCTGGCAACAGCACTCCGAATACTGCTTTGTGCATTTTGTAGAAATTCAGAGGATTTACAGTTATCTTCTGGAACCCCTGAGTTGATCTTCGTGGGCTTGCACTTCTCAAAGTGGAATTGTGGGATGGCAGGCTGTGTGAGAAAAGCAATTTCCGCATGTCCTTCCCAGGAGCAGGATTCTTTTATCTTTGCCGTGTAATTTCATGGTTGACACCTGGCCTTGACTCCACTCATACACTGTGGGATGTTGGACAAACTACCCCTAGTGTGAATGGAAGTATTTGGTGGCAGGTACCTCCTCTCTTGAGGGGTGACTTTGATGGTTTTATAAGAAGCATGCAAAGCCCTCAGTCCTGAACGGGGCTGTTTGGCATGTCTGTTGGCCTATGTGTAAAGCCCTATTTATCTTTTCTCTTATTTTCTCTTAGGATGTCTGCTTTTGCCTGGGGAATTTGTGAGACTCCTCAGTAGTAACCTTTAGTCACATAGAACAAGCGAATTTTTTACTTTCTCTCTGAGCACTGCCTTTTCTTTCTTCCTTTCTTTCTATCTCTTTTTAAATTACTTCTTTTGTTTATTATTATTATTGTGTGTGATGAGTTTGTGAGTGGGCCATGCATGTTTGTGGAGATCAGAGGGCAGCTTCTTCCTCTATAGCTGTGGTTCTCAATCTCCCTAATGCTGTGACCCTTTAATACAATTCCTCATGCTGTGGTGACCCAAACCATAAAATTATGTTCGTTGCTACTTTATAACTAATTTTGCTTCTGTTGCAAGTTGTAATGTAAATATCCGTGTTCTCCGATGGTCTTAGGTGACCCCTGTGCTGGGGTTGCTTAACTCTGTCAGGGGAGGGTCATGACCCACAGGTTGAGAACCTCTGCTCTGTGGATTCAAGGGGATGGGACTCAGGTTGTTAGGTTGTTGACATGAGCAGCAAGTGCTTTTGCCTGCTCAGTTGACTGGTCTTTCGCCTGATGTTTTGTGTGTACACTTGTGATACTCAGTTCCCTCCAAAGTGCTCTCCATCAGCCAGCTGAGCCTGAGCGATCTTTGGGGGAACTGTAGGAGGGGTGGGTGGGTCATTGCTAAGAACAGGATCACAGACTTTTTGTTAAACTAGAAATTTCAGAGGGGTGTGCCAGTCATGCTAACTGAACTGGAGCTTGGGACACACTGTGAGAGCTGTGAAGAAAAGTGTATAGTGTCTCATTGCCAGTAGGGAAAGTAGTGGCAACTTGGGGGGGGTCTCTTCTAGTCTCTCCAAGCCCCCACTGCTGTAGCTCTTGAGCAGCTTTATGGGATTCTAGAGCCATGACTAGAGAATAAACCTCACCGACACCAAAATCCTAGGGTTTCTCTGTGTAGCCTTGGCTGCCCTGGAACTCACTCTGTAGACCAGGCTGGCCTGGAGCTCACAAAAAATCCACCTGCCTCTGCCTCCTGAGTGCTGGGATTAAAGGTGTGTACTTTAATTCCAATTTTGAGAAAGTCATAAGAACTAAAAGTCTCAGGGGTATTGGTGTTACGGGTGTGAGCTACCACACCTAGCATTAACATTTTTTAAAAGATTTTTATTTGTGTATATGTGTTTGCTGTGTATGTGGGTATGTTCACGTGGCTGCAGAGGACCCTACTGGTTCCAGAAGAGAGTATAAGATCCCCTGGAGCTGGAGTTACAAATGATTGTGACCACTTCATGTAGATGCTAGGAGTCAAACTTAGATCCCCTATGAAAGCAGTATGTGCTCTTAACCGCTGACTACTCTCCAGCCTACACCCAGCATTTTTTTGTTCCATTTGTGAGTTTTATTCAGTTAATCAGGAAGGACTTCTGTTTTAGGTGGTCTCTGGCACTCTTAGTGCTGAGCTTGGCCCAAGGTGGTACTGTCTGGGTTCCTGGCAGCCTTTTGTGAGACAAGGTCTCTCAGTGCAGACCAGGCTGGCTTTGAACTCTTCATTCTCCTGCTTCTATTACCCACATGCTGGGTTCAGGCATGTTGGGACTCCTGGTTATTCAGGCAGGTGTACTCTAACCTGTGAGGTCAGGTACGGATTGGCTGGCAGGCCTGGATTTGAGGATCTCTGAGGCAGCCCCTTTGTGTGTAGCTTCCTGGGGAACTGCTGTGTGTGAGACAATCCTACCCTTACTTCTCTGAGCCCCTGAATGTCTTCTTTCCTGGATTCCAAAATCAAGTCGATTTTGGTGGAGAACAGCACCTGGCGACAACCCTCGTGCCGGCCTGGATCCTCCCAGCCCCTGCCGTTGCCTGACAGGGTTGTGATGTTGGTCCAGGGGAGAGGGTGACCGGTTTGAATGTTTATTGCTGGGATATACTGTTTCTGAGACTTGGACTGTGACCCATAGTCAAGGTATGGACAGAACATTTGCTTTAGTAAGTCTGTAAGTGGGGCCTGGTTGCCAGGCTTGCAATCCCAGCTCTCGGGAGGCTAAGGCAGAGGGATCAAACACTCAAGGCCTGCTTGGGCTACAGAGTGACTAAGAATAAAAGGTAAAAAGAGCCTGGGGGTGGAGCTCAGAGACCCAGTGGGTATGAGTCGCTGGATTCCATTCTTGTAACTGTTGAAAATTAGAACAAACGGAAAAAGCCTAACTACCGCTTTCTACCAGGGTAGGGTGGTCTGGGGCTTGGAGACACTAGAGACTTGGGATGGTGCCATTGGTGTTTAGACTGTTAACACAGTTAGCCTCTCAGAATCTTCTCTCCCCAAGTAGTGACATTTGCAGGGCTGCCTTGATCCCTCTGTTGTGGTGGCACACATGTCAGGTTGTAGAGTGACTTGGGGCAGGGGAGCACTGTTGGAATCATTTTAGGAGGTCTTTCTGGGCAGGTCAAAGAGAGACTGCTTAGCCAGTTCTGTCCTGTTTCCAGGGCTTGTGCCATGAGTGGTGGTGCTGTTCCCAGAGGACAGGGACAGAACCTAGTACCCAGCCACCTGGGCATAAACATTTTCTTTTGATGTGTCACCCCCTTGGCCAAGGGCCACCTGCAATTATGTCATGTGGGAAGGGCTGTAGATAAGTCCTGGTCTCCAGAGCACTGAGGGCAGTAACCTCAGTGCCTGCCTGTCCTTGCCTGACAGGCCTCTGTGATTAATGCTTCATCTGTACCTGCTGCTGACCAGTTGTGGTATGTCACAGCTGAATGTGCCTCCCAACGCCAGCCCAGGGCTATTGAATTTAGAAATGTCAGAGCTGGGCGGTGGTGGCACACAACTTTGATCCCAGAACTTGGGAGGCAGAGGCAGACCAGCTTGGTCTATAGGAGCTAGTTCCAGGACAGCCTCCAAAACCACAGAGAAACCCTGTCTCAAAAAACCAAAAAAAGAAAAGGAAAAAAAGTTTAGACATGTCAGGCCCTAGTTCCAGGTCAAAGTATTCATTCAGGGGCTGGCAAGATGTCTCTGTCAGTTATCAGTAAATCATCTGCTACCAAGCCTGGTGCCCTTAGTTCACCTGATGGAAGGAGAAAGCTGGCTCCTGCAGGTGACCTCTGACCTCCAGAGGCTCCTGTACATACAAGTATAAGAAAATGTGACAAGATAAAATAAATATAATAATTAAAAAAAGATGAAATTCAAAACAAGGAAACAGTTAAAATTCTCCTTCCCCTTTGGCACTTTGCTGTATTTGGGCAGGTGTACTTGATTCTCACCATAACACCTGTATGTAGTTCCTGTCCAGGGTTATGATTGGGAGTCTACTGTGGGTTTGCTGATCATGCCCCTCACTGTCTGATCCAGTGGTGGTGGAGAGGACAAGCCAGCTCCCCCTCATTCCCAGCTTGACTGGCAGTATTATCTCTGTGGCTTTGTTAAGTAGCCGAGCTTGGAGGCACTGTCTTAGGAGGAGGTCTGAAATTGGCTTAGGCGTATTTAAAGTCCAGCAAATATGTATGAGCTCACCCATTCTGTGGAGGGGACCCAGCAGAGAAAACAGACTGTCCAGGAAACAGAGGGGCAGAAGGCCCAGAGTGGAGAGCCCCCAATCCCACACCTCCCTGATTGAAGGAGCAGTTAAGCTCTTGTGTTGTGTTTTTATGCTTTTGTTTAAGTCGGGCTGCTTGTTTCTTGTGAGGCAAGGTACGCTGTTTCATAGGCTATCCTCAAATTTGGACAGATCTTCCCACCTGAGCCTCCTGAGTGCTGAGATGACAGATGTTAGTCACTATGCTTAGCTTCAGGGATTTGGGGGTTGGTGAGGATCACACCCAGGCCTTGTACCTGGTAGGTGAGTAGGTGAGCTTTCTATCATTGGACTTGACTCCCAGCTCTCTGTGACTGCTTGCTTTTGATTTTTTTTTTTTTAAGTTGGCCTCACAGTGCTGGGGTTACAGGCCTGCACCACCTCATCAGTTTTCAATCTGTTTTATTTTTTGTGAGGCAAGATCTCACTTTGTAGTCTGGGATGCCTCAGCCTCTGGAACAGGGATAACAGGAATGTACCACAGCCCAGTTCTAAGGTGTTCAAAAGTTAACTTCCAAACACAACTTGTGTGGTCTTTCTCTTGGAGGCAGAGGCAGAAGGAACATGTGCTTAGGAGGTCTTTAAGGCTGCATTGCCA